GTTGTTTTGTAGCATGTGGTTTATTTGCCATAAATTTGTGTTTTTTCCATTTTTTTTACTATAGTTGATTTCTAGTTTCATCCCATTGTGGTTAGAAAGATACTTGATATGATTTCAATCTTCTTGAATTTATTGAGGCTTGTTTTGTGGCCTAATATTTTATCTATCCTGGAGAATGTTCCGTGTGCACTTAAAAAAATGAGTATTCTGCTATTTTTGTATGAAATGGTCTATAAATATCGGTTAAGTACATCTGGTCTAATGTAACATTTAAGGTCATTATTTCCTTATTAATTTTCTGTGTGAATGGTGTGTTTGCCTTTAAACCACTGCTTAATCTCTTTTACAAAGTGCATGTTTTTAAAATTTTAAAGATGCACTTTGTGTCATTGCGTTATTATCAAGGCACTGTTGACGGACATTTTTTGATAGGCTTTTTGTTGTGTTTTATAGAGATTCTAACCTTTTTTCCATCATGATCTAGTGGTTAAGAGTACAGTCTTTGTAGCCAAATTGCCATGGCTTGGTTCCTTTTTATTTATTTATTTTATTTTTATTTATTTATTTTTAAATATATCTTTATTGATTTCAGAGAGAGGAAAGGAGAGGGAGAGAGAGAGATGGAAACATCAATGATGAGAGAGTCATTGATCGAGCCCACAACAGGGCATGTGCCCTGACCGGGAATCGAACCCTGATCGCCTGGATCCCAGGTCGGCGCTCAACCACTGAGCCACACCTGGCTGGGCTGTTTCTTTTTATTTAAATGATAGCTCTACCACTGAGGGTGTTTAAACCACCCTAATGTGTATTTCATCAATTATAAAATGGAATATTATTACCTACCTGATATGATTTAAATAAGTTAATGTTTGTAAAGGTATAGAATATCGTGAGAACACAGAAAGTGATGAGTTCATGTTTGTTATTAGTTCTGTTGTTACTGTTCACCAAAAACAGAGCTAATAGAGATAAAATAGTACTTGGAGCAGTGCTTATCATCTTGCCTCTATAATGGTTTTTTTGTTTGTTTTTTAATGTTTTCTTCTGTGCCTTTGTAATCAATCCTCACCTTAACCCATATTCCTTGCAACTGGAGATTTGATTTCTGTCTATATATATTTGGGAGTTTCTTTTTCTGAATGCCCCATAATCAAACAGTAAGGGTTAACCCTTTGTGTCTGGCTTACTTGGCTTAGCATAATATGCTGGGAGTCATCCATGTTGTTGCATGTTTTATTAATCTGTTACTTTTTATTGTTGAGTAGTATTCTGTTGTATGAATGTACTATATATAGTTATTTCGTTTTCTAGCTTTTGGCAATTATGAGTAAAGCAGCTATAATTATTTGCATACAATTCTTCATATTGACATATATTAGTATTCCTTTTGGATAAATGCCTAAGTGTGGGATTGCTGGTTTACATAGTACATTTTTAATTTTACAAAAAGCTGCCAGTTTTCCAAAGTAGCTATATCATTTTGTATCCCCTCCACCAAGAATATGTGCAGTTGCAATTACTTGCTTCTCCAATGCATGGAATGTTCAGATTTTTAAATTTTAGCCACTCTAGTAAGTATGTAACAGTATTTCATGGTTATAATTTGCTTTTCCCCAATGACTGATATTGAGCATCATTTCATATACTTATTTTCCATCTGTTCAAACCTTTTGCCTGTGTTTCGGTTGGGATGTTTGTTTTCTTATTATTGAGTTGTAAGAGTTCTTTGTATATTTTGGAAATAAGTCCTTTATCAGATGTGTGTTTTGCAAACATTTTCTCCCAGTCTGTGGCTTGTCCTTTTTTTTTAATGGTATCTTTCTAAGAGCAGAAATTTTTAATTTTGATGACGTTCAATTTATCTTTTGTTTGTTTGTTTGTTTGTTTTTATGGATCTTGCTTTTGGTGTGTTGTCAGAAGTCTGTGCATACCCCAAGACCACAAACATTTTCTCATGTTTACTTCTAGAAATTGAATAGTTTTAGGTTTTACGTTAAGATCTGTGATCCATTTTGAGTTGATTATGGCCTGTGGTGCAAGAAAAGGGCTGAGGTTCTCTTTCTTTGGATTTGGATGTCCTGTTGATCCAACACCATTGTTGAAAAGACAATTCTTTCTCCACTGAATTATTTGCCTTGTTAGCCTTAAGATCAGTTGTCAATATACATTGGGTCTGTTTGGGAATTCTTCTCTGTGTTGATCTGTTAAGTATCTATCCTTATGAGAATACACTAAGTTGTGTTTATTAGTTTATAAAGACACTTGAAATCAGGTAGCATGAGTAATTCAACTTTGTTCCTCTTTTTCAGACTTGTTTTGACTCTTCCTAGTCCTTTGCTTTATATAAATTTTAGAATTGGCTTATCAACATCTGCCCAAAAAGCCAACTGGAATTTTTATTGGGAATACATTATCTATAGATGAGTTTGGGGAGAATTGTCATCTTAACAATATGACAACCTGGTGGAGGCCCGTGGAGAAGAGCTTGTGAGTGCTAACTCCCCTTGTGTCTAGATCCTTAGCTATTCTAGCACTTGCTTATGTTTGCCTTATAACTTTAGCTTTCTGGTAAGCTTAAGAAAACTTATTTTTTAGATGATTTTTTTTCTCATGGTGAAAATGACCTTTTCAGCTTTCTGCATTCTAAGCACAAGCAGATTTTAGGTCTTTTAATACTGTAAACCTGAACACATCATGTTTGTAGATCTTAGAGGTATGCTTTCCAATAGAATTTTGTGTGATAATGGAAATATTATCTATCTACTCTAATAGGTCCCAGTTATCAATTTATTTTTCATGGATCATACTTTTGGTGGTATATCTTAACAACAACAAAAAAGGCACACATCACCAGACCAAGGATACCCAGATTTTCTCCTATGGTGTTTTCTAAAAGTTTTATAGTTTTGTGTTTTACATTTAGGTCAATGATCCATTTTGCTTTAATTTTTGTGAGGGGTACGATGGTGTCTGTGTTCAGATTCACTTCTTTGCATGTAGGTGTCCAGTTGTTGAAAAGACTATCTTTTCTCTGTTGAATTGCCTTTGCACCTTTGTCAAAAGATCATTGACTATACTTGTGTGGGTCTGCTTGTGGGCTCTCTGTTCTGTTCCATTGATCTTTGTTCTTTCACCAATACCATACTGTCTTGATGACAGTAGTCATCCTCCCTTACACAGGAGACATGTCTTAAGACTCCCAGTGGATGCCTGAAATGGTGGGTGGTACCAAACCCTATAGGTACTATGCCTTTTTCTATACATACATACCTATGGTAACATTTGGTTCATAAATTAGACACAGTAAGAGATTAATAATGATAAAATGGTACAATTACAATAATATATTGTAATAAAAGTTATGTAAATGTGGTCTCTCAAAATTTTAATTACTGAAAATTTTCCAAAAATTTTCCGTACATACATTTATAACCTTTTCCATCTTAACTAAGCACTTATCATGCACTGTGGCTGTGACCATTGTTGTTTGAGGTGCAACAACAAAACAAGCACAAATTTCTTTTTCCTTCTTCACAATTTCATAGATAGAATATTTGTTTTTACTGTAGATCTTAGCAACCTCAGCTTATGGTTTTTTCCCTTTCCTTATTAAGTCGAGGACTTCTACCTTTTCACTTAAAGAAAGCACTTTACAGCTTCCCTTTGGCATATAAGAATTGCCAGCATGATTAATCTCATGCTTTGAGGCCTTTACTAAGTAAAATAAGGGTTACATGAACATAAGCACTGCAATGATCTAATAACCAAGACGGCTACTAAGTGACTAATGAGCATGTAGTGTATACAGCATGGAGACACTGGACAAAGGAATGATTCATGTCTGTACAGAACAGAGGGGGATGGCACAGGATTTCAGCACTGTTCTGAATGGCACTAGATTTAAAACTTATGAATTTTTCATCAAATTATTTATTTCTGGAATTTCCCATTTAATATTTTTAGACTGGTTGACTTCAGATAATTGAAACCTTGTAAAGCAAAACCATGGATAAGGGGGCTCTAGTGGTTGAATGGCACCTGTACTTTGCTTTAATGTAGTAGTAGAGGCCCATTTTAAAAATAAAGAATTCCTTTAAATGAGCTCTATAGAATACTGTTAAAATTGAACCTTCTTATCAGCACATGGCAATAAATCTTTTAATAGGATTGCTTTAATGGGACTTAAGTCTGACTTTTCTTTAGGACACTCACATGATTTTCTTAAAAAAACAACCCTTTGTTCTTGGCGTGAGTATTTAGATCTTGTGTTTCTGAAATTTAAAAATTAGTTTTCTGAAGTTGCTAACATATTTTGCTTTTTCAGGTGAACATACAAACTCTTACCTGGGAATTATTTCTTTGATTAATTTTTTTAAGTCACAAAATTGGTCAACTTTTTTAACCTTCATTTACTGCAAGTTGTCTTCCAGTTCAGAGTAATTGAGAATTTTACTGATATATTATTCAGCTGTTTAGAAACTATTTTAGGAATATAGATGTCTTGAAAATACCGATTTATAGTATCTGCAAGTTTCTAGATGATGAAATGTTTTCAAAAATGGATACTCATAATTAGAATTATATATGAGATAGATGATCACATTCAAATGAGAAGTTACAGATTAAGGTTAATCAAATCAACCGTATGGAAATGTAGAGCTACTGAACAGTTTTATTCTTTAGCTTAAAATTTCAATTTGTTAATAATTTTAATATAAAAATATAACAAATGGAAATATATAATTTGTTCCTTTTAAGATGATTCTTTTTACTGAAAACTAAATAACTAGAAATAAAATCAAAGTTATTTTTAAAATGTCTTGACTGCTGCCCAGTCTTATATTAAGTGGATCTGAGTAACCTCAGTACATTTTTTAAATAACTTTAACTTTGGCTTTTTATAATACAAGTTTACTAAACATGTAACATTTTTTTATTCAGCGGGAGCATTTATTAACATATTTATTACATCATTTTTTTTTTTTTTTTTTTTTTAGGTAAAATCTGTAAAAACTGGGTCTGTTTTTTGGACAGTGTGCTGCTGCTTATCGTATTTCTATATGGTAAGATTCTATATTTGAAACTACATGAGGTCTAACAAGGCTTTTTGGCAGTTAGACCAGTTTTACTTCTTCATTTCCTTCGCATCCAGGGCTAGTTCTCCACTTAGTTTCTCCTGAAATCTTTAGGATCTTAATTTTGTTTAATGTATACTCTTTCATTATTCCCATTCTCTTCCTTACCCCTATCACCAGAGTCCATATGGACTTTTGCTTTAGTGGGGAGGGCTAATACTCAACCTCTCAAATATAATATTTGCAGCAAGTGAAATGAAAGTTTTTCTTTTTAAATATACAGCTTAACCTAAATAATGATCACATCCACTAGGTTAACCTGTAGACTACCTACACATTTTTTTCAACAGATTGTTTAAGATTGGGGTTCGTTATTATCTCTTCATTCTCCTGCCTTTCTTTTTCACACCACAGCCTGTTTAGTAGTTGTGTGCTGAAGATTAATGAGAAAACTAGGTACCTTATTTGTCTGTTTTTAAACAATTGTCACGGTATTTGTGCATCCAAATTATCTATGCCCCTTTAAAAGTGGTTAAAGCCTGGGACACATTCTGTGCAGTTGTACTCAGTAAAAGTAAACCCATTCTCTTTCTAGTTTAGACTTAGATTTTGGAAATAATCAAGAGTCCTTAGGTTAGGTGCTCAATCAGAGCAACATTGTTTTTGCTGAAAAAAAGTAGCATGTAACTGAAGCAAAGTGATGTTTTTGTATGCATTGTAAACTGAAGACAGTTCCTTACAAGTGGTTTTGAAATATTGTAGACAGGAACAGCACTGTTAAATATATGTTAACGTATAGCCTCTTAAGGTATCTATTGCTATAAATGGCTTTTTCAAACTTTTAATTATTAGAGCACATCAAAAAATTTTGATCTTGATAAGACCCTAATTCCTGTTACTGAATGTACTTAAAAAATGAATTCTATTGGTTGAGAATAAACATTATCTTTAGAATATTTATTAATTTACACTAGAACATACTCAATTACTCTGATTAAATAGCATTATTCTAACTTTGTAATACAGGCTAAACATTAAAACGGGGTCTTTTTTTTAATCCTCACCCGTAGATATTTTTTCCATTGCTTCTCAGAGAGAGTGGAAGTGGGGGAGAGAGAGAGAGAGAAACATTGATGTAAGAGAGACTCATTGATTGGTTGCCTCCCACACATGCCCTGACCAGGGCCGGGGATAAAGCCTGCAACAGAGATACGTGCTCTTGGTCAGAATCGAACTCGGAACCCTTCAGTCTGTGGGCTGATGCTCTAACCACTGAGCAAAACTGACCAGGGCAAAACGGGATCTTGATTTGTATAGGAAATAATTTATACCCTAAGCAGCACCTTTATTTTGAAGATTCAAAGCACATCCAGATTATGTGAGTATTCCTTTTCGTTGAGTTGTGAACTGCTGCTAACATTCATTGTTTATATTCTCAGTAAAGTTTCTTGCAAGATATTTATCACCCCAAAGTGGGGGAAATAAATGCTGGTTTTTTTCTTCTAAATATTTATGATCTATATCCTAAAAGTCCCCTTTGTGACAGTCTTTTACTTTCAATTCACAAGTTATAGTGCTCTCAACATTCTTTTCTTTTTTTTTTTTAATATATCTTTATTGATTTCAGAGAGAGGAAAGGAGAGGGGGAGAGAGAGAGGTAGAAACATCAATGATGAGAGAGTCATTGATCAGCTGCTTCCTGCACGCCCTGGACTGGGATCGAGCCCGCAGCCCAGGCAGGTGCCCTGACCGGGAATCGAACCCTGATTGCCTGGATCCTAGGTCGATGCTAAACCGCTGAGCCACACCCGGCTGGGCCTCAACATTGTTGTTAAGTTTAATTTGACCATTTCTCCAGGGAATGTAGGAAAGCATATTTGATTTAAAGCATTGTGTTATTTTATTATTAATAAAAATAAGGAGAAGTAGGTTATTTGTGGGTTATATAAATCAATATTTTAAGCATCTCTCAAAATTGCTAAATATACTTGCTTATTGTATGCTTAGATTATCATGACAAAACTTCTCTCTTTCAAAAAAGCAAACATAAATTATTTAACTTATTTACCCATAGGTCTCTGCTTGGGGTGGTTATGTGTTTATTATCAACCTTATTCCACTGCATGTATTTGTGTTATTACTGATGCAGAGATACAGCAAAAGAGTCTACATAGGTAAGTGATTTGACTTTTGAAATCTGTCAACTTCTAAGAGGTATTTCATAATAGATTATTTTCATTGAACACACATTTTTGTTAGGCCAGTATTACCCATGAAAAGGTAAAAATAATTTTATGTTTATTTTGCTTTTTGTATTTATAAGGAGGATTAGGCATTTTTACCTAAGTGTGTTGTTACCAACTTCTTGATGAGCTTTTATAGAAATTAGTCTAGATTTAGTATTTGTCAGCTTTTTTTCTAAAATTGGGGGGAGTGGGCAATTCTGTTATGAAAATCATTTACATATACATATTATTCAAATTCTACTTACTCACTAGAAAAGATTGAGCATTCTCAAAGTAAACAATTTAAACTTTAGAAAGCCCTTTCTGTGTAATATTAGTTCATTTGGACTGCCATAATAAAATACCACAGACTACGTAGCTTATAAACAACAGAAATGTATTTTTCACAGTCTGGAGGTTGGAAAGTCTAAGATTGAGGCACCAGAATGGCCACGTTCTTGTGAGGCCTTTTTTCCTGGCACATAGCTGACACCTTGCTTTGCTTTTTCTTCACATGGTGGAAAGGATGTGCTAGCTCTCTAGGGGCCTCTTGTAAAAGGGTGCTAATCCCTAGAGCCCTCATGACCTAATCACCTCCCACCTTCTGATACCATTACCTTGGACATTAGATTTTCAACATGTGAATGGGGGGCACAAACATTCAGACCACAGCATATCTTTATTTAGACTACAGTTTTTAGAACATTGTTGAATTAGATGCTTAGTGATAGATGGTGTCTCAAATCTTAGAGCTAATTTTCTGTGATATAGACAGAAAACCCTTATGGGTTGAAGTAATCAGTAGTTGTAATAAAACAACCATTGTCTTAGTAAAATAATACAATCATTATAATAATGTTTTTGGAAAACAGTAACAAAGATATAAAGATTGTTAGCATGGTTAAAAAACATAGTAGTTTGGCAGTTCCTCAAAAACTTAATCACAAAATTACCATATGATCCAGTAATTCCACTACTAGGTGTGTACCCAAGAGAATTGAAAATATATATTCACACAGAAACTTGTACACTAGTGTTCATAGCAGCATTCATTATTCATAATAGCCAGAAAGTGAAGACAGCCCGAATGTTCATCAATTGATGAATAGATAAGGTGTGGTATACAATGGAATATTTTTCTGTCATAAAAAGGAATGGAGCACTGATACATGCTACATTGTAAGCCTTGAAAACATTAGGCTATGTAAAATAATCCAGGCCTGTATTGTAGGATTCTTTTTGTATGAAATGTCCAGAATAGGCAAATCCAGAGAGAGAAAGTAGATTTAGTGGTTACCAGGGGCTTTTGGGAGTGGAGGAATGACTGAACGGATATGGGATTTCTTTATCGGATGAGGAAATGTTTTGGAAATAAATAGTGGTGTTAGTTATACAACTTTGTGAATATAATATAAATGACTCAATGGTATTATTTTATAGAGTATGAATTATATCAATTATAAAAAATTGATAGTATATTTTAACCATTTCAACATATAACAGTAACCACTGGCATAATTAATATATAGCTAATTCTTATAATTTACCACAAACTGTCCTAAGTTCTTTACATGTATTTAACTCATTAATCTTCATAACCACACTGTGAGGGTAGGTATTGTTACTGCCTTTGTTTACAGATGAGGAAACAAGAAGACATAATTTGCTGAAGATCTTGTAGCTAGTAATGGAGCTAAAGCCTGAAGCTAGATTTTTGGCTCTACAGCCCATTATGCTAAAAATCACTGTAACTATGTGCCTAGCATATAAATAAATATCTCACTGTTGAAATACATCGACCTATGAGATCTCTTTATCCTGAAAACATCACAACCAGTTGTTTGGATCCAGAAAGGAGGATAATAGATTAAACTATACTTTTCAGCTTTTTTTCTTTTGGAAGTACAGAAGGAAAAAATGTTTTAAGTTAAATGGTTGGTTTTAGGGGAGCAAGTAAGATTTTTATATGTTTAATTTTAAAAATTGGGAGTCCTGAAAATTTAATTGTCAGGGGAATAGAGTGGAGAAAAGACCACTTTTGTGAAATGCCCATGAATCAGGAAGAGGGGGAAGAGCCAAAGAAGTAAAAATAAAGAACATTGTTAAAGAGGTCAGATGGAAGTCTCATAGAAGTTTAAAACATGAGCAGTGTCCAGCTCCCTGAGAGTGTTAGCACTAAGATCTAGTAGGATGAGAATTGAGAAGAGACCCTCATTTGCAGAGTAGGAATTCTCTGGTAGTTTTAGAAAAGCATTCAATTAATACTGCTTTGGTTGGCTCTTGAGAGTTGTTCTTTTCAGAGGGAAGAGAAAAAAAATGGTGTAGGGATGTTATATACATGTATAAAGTTATATCGGTGTCTCATAATTTCATAGTGCTCAGATTCTCTACACCATCCTCCTCGTTTCTTTTCACTCTTAACTCCACTCATGTAATTTAGAGTATTTTAGATGTTTTTAATACTCTTTCATAGAGCTTACTTTTAAATGGATGGAAAGTGATAGCACAGAATAGTTGTTTCTCTTCCTTCATCATAAATATATCAGGATTTAAGTTAAATTTAACCTAACTAAATGGTTCTGAAAAATATGGAAGCATTACCAAGTGTTTGCATATACAGTTTGTCCTCTGATTTTAACATATAACATCCTTTGTCTATAGTTATTTCTCCTCGTGAGCAGAAATATTTAGATAAAAAAGGATTGATAGACGGCAAATAGCCAGAGGAGGAGATGCATTAGACATCATGAGTTGTAATGCCTTGTTACAGAGAAGGCACACATGTTAGTTTGGGGACCATCAGGAGCTTTTTGAAAACTTAAAATTTCAAAGGAACTTGAATTAGACCTTTTGGTGCCTTTTATCTTATAGAACAACTCCTTTGTGTACTTTAAGTCAAGGGCAATGGTTTATTTTTTTTCTGTATCAATCTGGTCCCACCCTATACCCTTGTATAAAAAAAAAAAATTCTTTAAGGGTGAAAGATATTTAGGCTCCGTTTAGAAGATTACTATTTGTCCCAAATCAAAGGTTTATTGGTGGGTGGTGGTGGTGGTGGTTAAAAATAATAGACCTTGTATATATATCTTTTTAATGGTAATTTTTTCTGGAATTACTCTAAAACCTTAGAAGTATGATCTTCAGTAGTGAGTGCCAGTAACTGTGCTTCCACAGGATGGCAGTGTGGTAACATTTTCATGATGTAATAAATGATTTACAATGTTACTGGTGTTGTGCATTTCCATAGAACTCAATACTTTGATGGAAAGCTTTATTCTTCTGGTTTAAAGGGTAAGAAAAGTCAGTTAACATGGATACATAGAAAGTTGTAATAGATGTGGATAGTAGTTTGGTCAAGTTTATTATAGAGTTTGTAGGAGGAATTGGTGAGGAATGATTGCTATTGCTATTGCTATGGGTTTGTGTTGTTGAGGCCTTCTGAAAACAGTAGCAAAAATGGTACTGATGGTGTCTAGTGCCTTGTCAATCCTCATGTCCAGAAGAGATGATCTCACCTTCCTTTTAAGTTTTTATAGGACCAGGGTTTTTTTTTTTCACCAATCTCACATGTACTTCCTTTACTGTATTGTGGTTATTTGTGTAGTTCTGATTTTCTCAGATACCTCTTAGAGGATAGGATTGCTCTTAATAGGATTTTGTAATTTTAGACTGTCTTGACCATAATAGACATAAAGTTAATATTTGAATGAATTATAGGGGTAATTTTTTAACACACTGTTAGATGCTATAGGACAAAGCCTAGGTAAAAACATGTTTTCACTGCAGTGGATATTGTGTTTATATTTAAGAATTGAGAGTTAATTCGCTATTTCTTTCAGTATGTCTAATTCTTAATTTCTGTGTTTTAAAACATGGATTGTAAATGGGATTTAAATTGAAGTTTAGAGACGTGTATCTAATTTTACAGATTCAAGTTTGTGATATTTTATATAGCAAACAATCCTCAGTTTTATTTAATGGAAATACTTACTGTGTATTAGAGAATGCTATGAGATAGAATATATCTTCCCCTATGTAAACATCTCAGGATCAGTGATCCAAAAAAAATACAAAATCTAGTTTCTCTTAAAAGAAAATGGTTATATTTGGATTATTGCATATATCACATCAGCTTTGTATCATTGGTGAATATAAAGTAGATATAAATGAGGCTTATTTGTATAGAGGGTTATTTAAAGGTAAAATGTTGTTGAGAACCTGTCTGTTCCTATTAGGACAGCTTTATTTGGCATTAACCTGTGTTTACAAAGTAATACAAATTAAAGTACCTGCCCTCCAGCCTTTTTGTGTTTCCTGAGATTGAATTTCTCTTCCTTGAACTCATCTCCATCACTCTTATTATTAACTTGAACCCTAGTGCATCTGCTTCTGTGTGAAGTGTTTTCTTCTTTACTAATAACAATAAGTGTCTCTGCAAACTTGCATAAAACCACTAAATTGAGAAATATTATCAGGCTTATTCTTTTCTTTTTGAATATGCCTAGAAATGAACTTGAGCAAATACTTGAAGAAATTTCATCAGTAGTTTCCAAGCAAGTGATTGCTGAGATTTTTGCACTGCCAAGCACAATAGACTTCTACCTGAAGAGAGAGAGTATGAATTTGTGTTTGTGTGCCCACTATACCTTTTAGTGATTATTTCTGGGAAATGTGACTTGGAAGTAAATGGACTAAAGGCTTTCACTTTCTACTGCATTTTGTTAACAACAAAAAGAACCATTACCTTTGCAATTAAGAACAAGTCAGAAATCCTGAGAGAAAGATGCAGATTTGTGTTTGCCTTGGGCTGGACCAAGGAGGAGGAGCAACTGCCTAATGAGTATGAGCTTTCCTTTTGGGGTGATGAAATAAGTGTGTTGGGACTGCAGAGAGGTGGTAGTTGCACAACATTGTGGAGGTACTAAATGCCCTGAATTGGTCACTTTAAAATGATTATGTATGTATTTCACCTCAGTTTTTTAAAAAGTCTTTACTTTTTTGTTCAACATGTGCCATTTATCACATTTATTCCAAATTTCATGACAGTGTTATAATATCTAATGCTCATTTATGTTTATGAAAAAGAGAAATCAAGCCTCAGAGGTGAGTGTGGTATTTGGGTGTAAGTGGGTTTAACTATAATTAAAACACGTAAGTGGCATAAGGTTTTCTCCAGCCTGGCCGTTCTAGTGTTTTTGTGTGTTCATTATTTGTCTGGGCTTTGATTTCTCAGCTCTTGTTGTTTAAAGGGCCTGTTGATCGTAGAATCTTAGGTTATTGTTAGGGGGAATCTATAAACTGAAACTTTTGTTGTTATGCAGTTATTCAACATCAAATAATGACCTTGCTCTCATACACCACCACCCCCCCCCCAATTCTGCCTCTGTAACTCTTTGTTAGGACATCTACAAAAGACAGATTTGTAAAAGAAACATATTGATATTAGAAAACCCAGCAACCAAATAGGCTAACAGTTCAAATCATGTGACATAGAAATTCTTATTAACTCTTTTTTTAATGTTTTTTATTTATTTTTAAAGAGGAAGGGAAAGAGATAGAGGGATATAGAAACATTGGTGAGAGAGAAACATCATCAATCAGCTGCCTCCTGCACGCCCCACACCACCACCACCAGGAATCGAGCCTGCAACCCGGCCATGTGCCCTGACCAGGAATCAAACCAGTGACCTCTTGGTTCATGGGTTGACTCTCAACCACTGATCCACACTGGCCAGGCTATTAACTTTTATTGCATTTGTGTTCACTTACCTCATTGAGGGTAACTCCATTTCATCATTAATATATCTGAAAAGTACATTATTGGGTGGATTACTTCTGCAGTCTCCTAGACAACCAGTTCCCCACTAGCTTCAGATCATCAGAAACTTTATTCACATACTTTGGTCATTTCTGTTAAATTTACTTGAGCTTCTTATCCTTTCCTAACACTAATCATCTCTTAACAGACAGCTTGGGAGGCAACCTAACATTTGAACCATGAGCCCATAACTTACCTTCTACGGATGAGTTTCTTTTAAAAAGCAGATAAACTTACTTTCTCAAGTAAGTTTGGTGAAGGAAAAGTATATGCAATATGCTGTGTAGCATATGGATATACGTGCTATAACAGTTCTCTTCCTAAATATACCCTCAGGTTTTTTTTAATAGAGTACTGTATTTGCCAACAACTAAGTATTGACTGCTTCACAAAATGACCTAAATAAGCTTTATAAGTGGAATAAATTTCACATTAACTTATTTCAGATGGGTTTCATTTTCATTTCTAAGTAATTTTTTATTGCAGTGATTTTAAATACTTTCTTTTTAATTAACTTATCGAATAGTGACTGTGAACACCTAAATCCAAAACAGGTCTATTTTACAAATTGTATCCCCTCCCCAATTTGCCTATACTTTTAGGTTGATATCAGCCAAGAATATTATAATATACTTATTGCCAAGAGCAAACAGGTTTCCTTTATTAGACCCTAATAAATTCAGTAACTAGTCTGTTGTATTGCAGGACTTCTGTGTGCAAAGTCCTTTTCTTCTTTAATCACAAAGAACTTGGTTGATGGAGGTTGGGTTTTTTTTTTAGTGTTTTGTTTTTTTGTTTGTTTTTTTAACTGCTAAGTACTGTAAAAGAGTAGTAGGAGACTATTTAAAAAGTGTGAGCCCTCACTGGGTGGGTCTCGGTTGGAGTGTCCTGCCACATACCAAAAGGTTTACAGTTTGATTCTCCGTCGGGCCACATACCTAGGTTGTGGGTCTAATCCCTTGTCAGGGCTCATATGAGAGGCAACTGATTGCTATATCTTTTTCACATTGATGTTTCTCTCTCTCTCTCTCTCTCTCTCTCTCAACATATCCTCGGGTGAGGATTTTTTTTAACATGTGAAATACTTGAGCTTTTGAGACAGTAGCAACTATTCATATATGATGATGATGATAAGTATTCATTAGGTCATGCATACTTTGGATTAATGGCCATAGGAATAGTGTTTACTTATTTATATATTATGTAGCTTCTTGGGTTGTGTCATTGATTATTGATAGATTGAAAAAAGCTTGATTCCATTTGGAGGAGAGGAAAGCAGCACCAGTAACCTAAACTGTTCTTAATGATAGTTTGTAAAATGAAGTACTTAAAATAAATTGGCAGAAAGAATTTTCATGATCAGCCATCAAATAGAACAGTCACTTCAAGATTCTATTCTTAAAATAAGTTCAGTTAAAACTTTGCTAAAAAGAAATGAGTTATGTACACATTTATGTTTGAAGTTCTTAGTGACAGTGGTAAATTATCTTGTTTCCCATTTTGTCTTTTTAGCATATAGCACTTTCTACATTGTGGGTTTAATATTATCCATGCAGATACCCTTTGTGGGATTCCAGCCAATCAGAACAAGTGAGCACATGGCAGCTGCAGGTATGAGAAAATATTTATTGTTCATTTTCTAAAGGATATATGAATGTGTGGCTAGCCAGTCTTCAAGGAATGAAGTGTTTTCTTTGTTTTTAATTTTCATCAAACATCACTATAAAATAAAAATATCATAGTTTTATTGAGACATTCTGCTATTGTGTTCCCAGAAGTGCCTATCTCCCCAGCCACTGCTGTTTTGAAAAGGCAAAACATCTCTTTTTGCACAATTCATGTTATTTGCAAGCACTAAATAGTATTTGCCTTGTATAAACTAATATTAAACAGTATTTGTACACTAGTTACTGTACCATTGAGTTTCCATTTCCACAAATTTAAATGGAACATTTCATTTTTATGTTCATTACCTCTTACTAAAATATTTCATCTATATCTACTAACTGGAATTAATGGTTTTTATTGATTAGAAAGTCATACAATTTTCCAAATAAGCAGAGTTCTTTGCCGTTATTAACTTGGGTCACAATTAATGATAATGGGGGATCTGTGAATAAAACTATCAGAGCTGCTCAACGGGAGGTCCATATCCCATATGAAGGCTGTGGGTATTTTATTTGTAACATTTTATAAATACAATATATTTTACTTTCTGAGGTGGTGTTCGGTAGCTTTTATCATCAGTGAGATTCTCATTGAGAATCTTTGGGGTCAAGGTGGGGAACAAACCCAAGAAGTTAAGAACTCACAACTTAACTATTATATAGCATATCAAATCTGTGAAATACTTTTACTTACATTTCTAATGTGATGTTATAAAATTACCAAGTAGTAGTTTGAGAGAGAAATATATATTTACTTTGAGTGTACAATTGTATATAGCAATGTTTATGTAGATACACAGTCACCTAATTCTTTATGCATATGCATTATTATATTTCCTGAAATCTAAATCCTTGATAGTACATATTTAATCCTTCTAAAATTAACTTTAAAAAAATAACCCATATGACTAAATTTTTTTAAAAGAAAAATCAATATCCCAGATGGGTTAGGGTTTTCATGTCATTGTTTAGTTTTACACCTAGTGCTTTTATATTGTGTTTTGCACATTTTGCCAATAAGTACTTTTCACTGTTACGCTTTAATTTTGTTTATCTTAGCACATACCCTTATATCTACTGATTTAGAATCTTATATAAGTGTGTAATTAAGGTCACATCTTTCCCTCAACTATAAATGATAACTCTTGTATCAAGATTCACTGTATCCAAGTAATTTCTTCCTTCAGTAAATCTTAGGATTGTTTTTAATGACATTTCTATGTTTGCCCCCTAGAAAATATGTCACTAAAATGTGGGACAAAGGGAGGAATTTAATGTGCTAAATAGGCTCTGGTTATTGAAATGAGATTTTTCTTCCTTGGTCCATATATATGGAGTCTGATCATTAAAAAAATGTGTAACAGTTTTGGGGGTGTATTAATTGGTTGTCATTTGATAAAGAAAATGTTGGTTAGATGAAATAACTAGTCTTTGTTATGAATGGTACAAGGTGTTCTAAGAATCTCTTATATGACCTTTTCCTTTAGGTGTCTTTGCATTGCTGCAAGCTTATGCTTTCTTGCAGTATCTGAGAGACCGATTAACAAAACAAGAGTTCCAGACCCTTTTCTTTTTGGGTGTATCAGTAGCTGCAGGTGCTGTGTTCCTTAGTGTCATCTATTTGACTTACACAGGTAGGTGTCAGCACCTGTAGGATGTGAATCTTGTCTCTAGTTTATTCAAAAAGGTTATTTTACAAATTTTGTACATGTTCCATTTATCCCAGAGGGTCAAATACTACGGTTGTATTCTGTACAAACAATATGAAAATAATAGTCAAAGGTACTAAAATCTGCATAGCACTACAAATTATGATTGGTTTTTTTTAAAACAGTATCTTAATTTTGCTGCTTCAACATCTGGTAAATCCACTTTCAGGTGTCCTCTTGATAGATGAATAAGTCCAAACTGTATAAAATTCAAAGCTTCCAATGTTAACCTACTGCATGCTTGCCCTCTTGGGTGGGTACTTCTCTGTCCTATTTTTAAACAGTCTACTAGTCAGTGTTACTTTCTGATCCTGACTTCACTAGTCCCTAGAACAAGTCAAATTCTTTCTAAAGATATTCCATCTGTTAAGTTAATGTACCAGCCTAGCTCATAAAATCATGAAGAACTGACAGGAGAGAATAGAATGAATGATTAAAATCATCTTCGTCATTCGTCTAAATTTGGCATACTGTATTAGATAATTTAGACACCTCCTCCTTTTTAATATTATCCAGTGCTTTCTTACTGTCATAGCTTTATTTTACTAGTCAACTTGAAGTTTAAGGGAGAATTGGAAAACTCCCTACAGTTTTTATCTATCAACTTTCGTTTCTCTGGAAATGGATATTTTTCTTTGATCACTAACATTTTATCTTGACTGCTAGCCCTGTGAAATATGTTGTCATCTACAAAATAAAACTGAAAATTTTTAAATATTACGTTAAATTAATTCATCATAATCAGTAAACATAAAACTGATGAAACAAACAAAAACAATTTTTAAAAGGCAGACTGATTTCCTCTACATTTTTCCTTTTAAGGTTACATTGCACCATGGAGTGGCAGGTTTTACTCATTGTGGGACACTGGGTAAGTGCAGATAACTTATTTGCCCTCATTAAAATACAGTTTTTTCTTCCCCTGTGTTCTTATATTATCAGAGTCTCCATCAGACTTGGGCAACGTTTTAAAAGTATCTACTATATACTAGTAAATGTTGAATCCCTTGTATTTTGTTTTAATACCTGTTTGGAATTCACCTTTGGTATGATACGCAAGTCATTATTTCTGTTCTGCATGGGCAACTCCTTATTTTAATTTTGTTTGTCAGATAACATTTGTGCAATTTTAATGATTTATTTTTATTTTTACCAGTGTATTCAAAGTTTCCATCTATTAGTAATATTTCCTTTTTAATCATTAAGGCTGGGTGCTATGTTACAAGCCCATATACTGTAAATCTGAAGAAAAAATTTTTATTTTTTTTCTAATGCCACAGTATCTACATTTCTTGATATTTTAATTTATTAAATATACTAGAGAATATTTGTGTTTTATAGAAGTGCTATTAGAAAAAATTAATTTAAAAATTAATTTTAAATTAGACAACTAGTCAATAAAACTTTGCTTTCCTAAGGATGAGAAATATCTGTTGATAATTTACCTCTTTTCTCTTCCCACTGTTCTTTTTTGTTACTCCCTATATGGCCCAATAAAAAAAACCTACCACAGTTTATTGAGTGGGCCTTCCTTTTGATGTAATACCAAAAGGTCTAATTAAAGGACATAAGCAAATATGTACCAATGACTGAAACTAACATTTGGACACATAATTGAAGAGATCAGCAAGTGGATCACCAGAGAGTTTGAGGAAAATCCCCAGTTGTAGACAGTTATTTTGATTAGGTTAATTACTAGGTTAAATTTTTGCCAGTCATACTTATTCTTGCTTTCTGAACTTGAATGGACTACTTTGGAATCTCAGGGCATTTCAGGAATAATTTCTCCTGTCCTTTCCATTTCCCTCACCTGCCTCTAGACCATTGCCTTGTTAAGAAAGGTATTGTGGCAATATTATATCTTACTGGATAAGGTATTTCTGCTAGTAATAAGTCCAAAAGGTGAAATTTAGGAGGTGCTAAGTTAAAAAGGAGAACAAATTCCTATTTGAGCAAAGATTTTTGTATTAAAAGTCAGAGCTATCATTACTTATAGTACTATAGCCTTAGATAATTCTCCCAATTTTAGGGATGGCTTACTAATTTTATCAGTGTCGACCACATTTATATCCAGTACAATAGGTTATGTTGGAATATATTTTTAAGTGAGAAGGGATGGAAAATAGGAACCATATTTACAATCAAAGAAAATTTTTTCATCTAAAAAGGATTTTAATTAATTTTAAATATTAACTTTTTTAAATACCAGGTATGCAAAAATACATATTCCAATTATTGCATCAGTATCTGAGCATCAACCTACGACTTGGGTGTCTTTCTTCTTTGATCTACATATTCTTGTGTGTACCTTCCCAGCAGGCCTATGGTTCTGCATTAAAAATATCAACGATGAAAGAGTATTTGGTAAGAGATTTTTTAATACTTAGATTTAGAACAATTATTTTCATTGTTGAGATTATCACTTCACTTTAAAGTTTTGTTCTTTGCATGACTGCATAGTCAAGATAAATTTCTTCTCTCATTTTGCATAAATCTTAAGCAAGAAAAATCCAGTGAATTTGCATTATATATACTTTATTAACTGTTTTAACTTAGGACTAGTGTAGAACATTTTCATTCAGTTTACTATGTTTTCTGAGAGATTATTATAAACTGTGGCTAAGAATTGAAAATTATAATGTTTACAGTATAGTCTTAACTTTCTAAGTTACATCTGATTAAGTAAAAAGAAGTTTGCAGGAGTGTCCATTATTGACATTTCAGTGCAAAGTATATTTTGTAATTGAGTAAGAATCACCTTTAAGTAAACGCCGTCTTCACTGATAGATTTGTGTAAATTTTCAACTAACAAGACTTATAAAATACAAACTGTTTTTCAAGGAAAGTTTCTTGGATCTAACATCAAAATATAAATGGGCAAAGTAGGCAGATACCAAAGACTTCATTGATCAGTCATCACAAAAAGTATGCTGTGGCTGTTTTGCATATGGTAAAAACTGAAACTGAAAAAAAGCAACATACACATAGTCACACAAGTAAATAATTTGTAGTACCAGGACTTGAATTTATATAAGCATTGGGTCTGGACCATGAGTGATTCCATGGTGAAGTCAGGAGAAAAAAATAGCGCCTGCATGAGTTCTAACCAAAGGATGACATTCTTGTTATGTAGACCAGTCCTTCTGAAAAAGGCCATGTTAATATTCTGTCATTCACAAAGATATGGCTTAAACATAGTGCCTACCTCATGACTCAGCAGTCCTAATCCCAAGAAAAGTGAGTGCATATGTCCAACAAAGGACATGTTTAATAATGCACATAGCAACTTTATCCATAATAGCCCCCAATTAGAAACATTCCAAAGGTTATTAGCAATAGAATAGATAAATAAATTCTGATGTATTTTTACAATGGAATACAACACAGCTATTAATAAAAGAATAGCATGGGTAACTTAAAAAGCCAGTACAAAAGAGAACATTTTTTATATAATTTTTAAAATAAAGGTTCAAGAATAAAAAAACTAAATTAATGCTTTAGAAGTCCAAGTAGTGATTACTTTTTTTATAGGCTGGAGGGAGAGCAGTTACTGACTGGGAAGAGGCATGAGGGAGTCCTCTGAGGAGGTTCTATATTTTGATATGAGTGGTAATTACATAGGTGTATGCATATGTAAAAATTTATTGAGCTTTACAGTTAACATGGTATAATAAATGTAGTTTTTAGTCAGGAAATTACATTTTAATTAGCTTCATGAGATAGGGAGTTCAAATGACTCGTTGACTTTATGAGGTCATATATCCTTCAGCCTGGAATGGTAGAGCCTTTCCCTTTGGTTAGCACATTATGTGGAAGGCTTTGGGTTTTGGAAAAATACTTTCAAATTTTTTAAAAAGCCTCTTACTAGTAAATTTGCAAGCTCCTCCTTTGGCTAATGAATTATATTCTTCTCATCCTATTTTTACTTTAAAGCAAGCTTTATGCCAGATGTTGACAGTAGCTTTTCACAGACTTTATTTGATTCTTTTATAAACCTACTCTGCCTGATAATATAATTCCTCAAATATGTTTTCATCCATCAACTATGGGTTTTCTAATATGTGATGATATTGACAAATAATGAATTTGTCTCATTCCTCATAATAACTATAATTAAATTTAAATCATGATACATTTCACTAAATTGTTGATATATAGTATTTATTTAGTCAACAGCTATAATTTCTAAATATGACTATTAAATCATTTGGTCAATATTGTCAGTTTAAAAACAATTCGCTCTTTTATGAGATACCTATTTTTAGATTTGGTTTATAATGTGGTATTAAATATTTAGTTCAGTTTCCTTCAAACATTTTCTTTGCTGAAATGTTATAAGAGAGCTTGTCTTTGCAGTTGCTCTGTATGCAATCAGCGCTGTCTACTTTGCTGGAGTGATGGTGCGGCTGATGTTGACTTTGACTCCGGTCGTCTGTATGCTGTCTGCAATTGCCTTCTCAAATGTTTTTGAGCACTATTTGGGGGATGACATGAAAAGGGAAAACCCACCTGTGGAGGACAGCAGTGATGAGGATGACAAAAGAAACCCAGGAAATTTGTATGATAAGGTGGGCAATCTAAAGTAAGGCCTTCAAAAATTTTATGTGCCTTATTTTTCTACCACAGTAAGAACTGTAAATATTAAGAAATGTGATTAAACAGGATTTAGACAAACTGACATTTCTAGTTGGTCTTTACTGTTTGCCTCAAAATTTGAATTCTGGTTGGTCTTTTAGCTAAGAATAAGAAAGTAGAATATAATCAGACTAGGAATTCTCATTTCATTTTGGTCAGGTTTTATCTAAAATTCCTCTGTTTTTGAGAGCAAAAACCTAGTGCTCTACTAAATTACATAAAATTGAGCGTTATAAACCCTTCTGAAACCATGTGCACAAGTGCTTATCCTTGAGGTCCATATTCAGTGTAAACTTTTAAAATAATTTGGTTGCTTAAATAGTAAGGAATAAATGCCTTTCTAAAAAAGAAATCCTCCAGTTTCAGAATAGGCAGCTGGCCGATATAATTTACTTTTGTTTTTGTTTTTTAAATCCTCACTTGAGGATATGCATGCTTTCATTGATTTTTAGAGAGAGAGGAGAGAGAAACATAAATCGGCTGCCTCTAGAGCACACACCCTGACCAGGGAACAAACCAGCAGCTGTTTTGGGGTTTTTTTGGTGTACTGAGCGACATTCCAACCAACCAAGCACCTAGCCAGGGCATGTAATTTACTTTTAATCTCTCAGGTAACAGAGCAAGATCATATATGGTACAGATGTGGAAAAGACTTGTAAGAATTAGAGCACTTGTCTTGGATGACATGTTAAACTTTATTTGAATATTAACTAACTAGGTTTTAAAATACTAGTAAGCAATGAAACTTTCCAGGATAAGTATTAACTTTGAAAAGCTTTCCTTACTATAGGTCCAATATAATTCATACAGATTTGTGCTAGTAAAGCACATACCTACTTGTGTTTGTGGTTATATTTTATTTTGTTGTTTCTTAACTAGCCTAGCAATTTAGAACTTATGACTTTGTTCTGTTCTCTCTCCTGGTTTTTGTTTGTTTGTTTTTGTTTTTTAATTGTTTTTGAAAATGTAATCTTAATTTTAACAAGTCTGTTGGTTTTGAGGTTTGGAAATTGAAAGATTGATTCTGATAATGCAGTTTTTGTCTCATACTAAAGTTCTACATGGTCTGGATTATAGCTGGACAGTGTCATTTTCAAGATGAGGAATTTGGGTTTTGTAAAAAAAGCTTTCCAGAGTGAGGCATTTGGTTATCTCCTTTGTACTTAAGCAAAGCATAAGGACCACTGGGTTTGAAAGCAGCTTCTTACTGGAGATTTTTTGGTCTGTGACCACCTCCTGTATTGAGTATAGTCCCAGGAAACCTTCACATTTGACATGAGAATCTATCTTGCTAATTTTTAGAAAACATTGTATCACACAAGAATACCTGACAGTTATACATTTTTCTTCTCAATTAAATTGGCAGATTAACATTCTCCCAACTTTTCCCCTTGAATGTCTCAATGAAGCAAGTCAAATGATGAATTTGTCTAACCAGTTTTTTGTATCTTCAGGCAGGTAAAGTCAGGAAACATGTAACTGAACAGGAAAAAACTGAAGAGGGATTGGGTCCTAATATAAAAAGCATTGTCACCATGTTGATGCTGATGCTATTGATGATGTTTGCAGTCCACTGTACGTGGGTCACAAGCAATGCCTACTCTAGTCCAAGTGTGGTCCTGGCCTCTTACAATCATGATGGGTAAGAAATAACTTGGCTACAAAAGGATTTTATACCTATCCCTTTTTTTCTTCTCAATAGTTAAGAATTCAAAAATAGAATGTTTGTGAGGCTCTGCATTTGAATCTACCATGTTTTTCTTACAGCCTTTCTCTCCCTACCACCCCCATCCCCTTTGGTAGATGGTGGGTAGCAATCCTTATATTTCATGCTCTTGTCCAGAATGTCTTTGCATTCATAACATATACATTAATTTTTCTCAAAATGTGGTCCTTGGGTATACAGTAAGTTCTCAACATCATAGATAGGTTCTGTGACTAAGCCAAACAACATATAATGAAACTAGTTTTACTATAGGCTGATTGAACTAGAGTTCATTTCCTATCACATCTCATCAGTGTTATAACTTACACGGAATATTATTCAAGGACCTGCTGTACAGTAACATCATTACCAGGAAGCCTGTTAGAAATGCAAATTCTTGATCCCACATAAAGCCTATTGAATCAGAAACCTAGGGGTGGGGCTCAGCAATCTGTGGTTTAATAGGCCCTCTAGGTGATTATGATGCAGCAAAAATTGAAGAAGAGATGATATATTGCCACCCCAGCTTCTTAATTTGGATGCTTGTTAGACTTGCAAAATATCAGGCCCCACCCCAGAACTACTAAATCAGAATCTGCTTTTTTACAAGATATCCAAGAGATTTGTATGCATATTAAAGTTTAAAAAACATTAGTCTAGCTCTTCATTGATTTCTGCCCCCAACAACCCCAAACCCCATTTTTGAGGCTTTTGAAGACCGTCCTTAAAATGTGAAATAAATTCGATGGCTGAACACCTCAAGATTTTAAGTTACCCTCTTCACATTTATAAGATCTCATTTAAAAGAATATTGTGATTCTTTTCAGCACCAGGAATATCTTAGATGATTTTAGAGAAGCTTACTTTTGGCTAAGGCAAAATACAGATGAACATGCCCGAGTGATGTCTTGGTGGGATTATGGCTATCAGATAGCTGGAATGGCTAATAGAACTACTTTGGTGGACAATAATACCTGGAATAACAGCCACATAGCACTGGTAAGAATTCAATAAACAACTGATCAAAGTTATAAATCTTTACTACTTAGCAATCAGGCTTCACTTGTAATTAAGAAGAATAAATGTAGGTGAAAGTACTCTTGGCTTGCTGAATTCTCAAAATTTCTCTTTATACATTGAGTCTATAAAGTATGTTCAGGTTATGCATATTTCTTTTTAAGATCAGTATTTACTTATTTAAATATTCAGAATTGTAAACTTATCTCTGGCAGATCTCATGGTACCTCATGATATTAGTTCATTGGAGAATTACACAAAATCTGAAACTTTTAAAACACTAAATTTGGCTTGTATTTTATGTTTTATAAATTAAGATAATTATTTGCAGATACGTAAAATAAATATACTGTATTCAAAGTATGTTCACTCTGTTAAATAATTTACATAAATTAAGGTAATCACCTTTCTGTTTTTTAAAGATTTTAAATAGATGGTGTTAACCAAATGAGTTTTATTTGTATTAGTGTTGTAGATTATCATCAGATGTCTGGTAGACTGAGGGGAATAAATTTGTGCTAGCTAGATCATACCTGACCTTGAGGTAATGAGAAATTCTGTTTCTTTTAAGCTTGCCTGCTTTTATATTAAAGTGTTAATTTCATGAAACAATTCTCAAAATATTAAAACGTGTATTCTGATTTTGACATTTCTGCTGTAACTGGTTATAGTGAGTGAGGTGCCTCTAAATCTCAGTTAATTTGTTGAACCCATAGCAAATCATCTCAATAAAAAGAATTCCATGTAAATCATCTGAGGTACATTCCATCATAAGGTAAAAATGTACATTTTCTTTTTTAGCATATTGTAAGACTAAGTACACACATTCTCATTTTTTTCTGTAGGTGGGAAAAGCTATGTCTTCAAATGAAACAGCAGCCTATAAAATCATGAGGAGTCTGGACGTAGATTATGTTTTGGTTATTTTTGGAGGGGTTATTGGCTATTCTGGTGATGACATCAACAAGTTTCTCTGGATGGTTAGGATAGCTGAAGGGGAACATCCAAAAGACATTCGGGTAAGAAACCGTTAGTTCAGGTGTGTTAAAGACAGCTCACAGTGTCCAAGCAATTCTCTTATCTTGCTAATTGCATAGTATTTGTTTTCATTATTTTATCCCCAAAATTAGACTCTCACTCTGACTTTACTATTAAGATACTATAAGCATTTTCCCAGTTTTGAAACTTAAAATTCATACCTGATACTTCCGTTCTTCAAAGCAATCTTTTGTCAAGACGCCTGCTTTGACTCCTTCACTGCCTCTCAGTTCTGCCCTTTCTTTCCATTTCATTGTTTCCACTCTGTTATACTGACCCTTATGATCATAAACTTGAAATAGAACAGTGACCTGGAAATTGCTGTTTTTACCTTAGTCTTATTCCCTCACCCAGTCTAACATGACATTGATCATGTCACTTTATAGTTTAAAACTTTCAGTTGATTAAGGAAAGGGGCCTTGAAACCAGACAGACATCCATTAGGCCCTGCCACTGTCAGGTTGGTGCTATAAGTAAGTTATTTTCACCAGTCAGCATTATATGCTTTGAGCACTAGGTTTTGGTGTTATAATGGTGATTAAGGCAGCCTCAGATGATCACTAATGGGAATGCCAGGAATAATTCATTTGTAGTCCTGTTTTGAGACTTTGTTATAATGTAGGTGAAGCCTCAGCATAGTGACTGCTACATAATAATCCCTGTAATAAGGTAGTGGTATAAATTCCAAGCTCCTTTGATCGGAATGTAAACCCCTTAATACTTCACTTTCCTTTGCTGTCCTCTTGTCCCTTAGTCAACTTTTTCCCCACTCTGTCTATCTACTTTACTCAGTCAATCGACTTAAGCTGTGGGTGAAACTTACCCTGTGGTTTCTTTCCTTGACTCATCTGATATGTGGTGTTTATACTCTTCCTTTCTTGGGATAGCTTCCCCACCACAGATTTGTCCCCTCTCCAGAAGCTCTTCTCTGGTACATCCATGTCTGTACTCATCAAAATCACATACAGCCTGTTTTGTAGGTACATTCTATCATGTCTCTCCCGCTTAGTTGTGAGCTCTAAGAGGATGGGCACCCAGCATTGTGGTTTAAATGATAAAGGCACAAAAGATGAGAATGAGATTCACCACTAATCCAGAATAAAATAATGTAAATGCTGTGACATTTTCCCTTAACTGTGATTAATAAATAATATTTCCTTGTGTTAAATTAATCTTGATTTAATTTTTCAGTAAGTGATTTTCACTTGGATTTCCTTTCACAGTGTTAAAATTGTGACGTGATGGACCCAGGTATATCCTTTGAACATTTATATAGAAATTCTAAATTCAGTATTTTTAAACTTTATGAGTAGGTAATACAGTCACATGGTTCAAAAGTAAAATGTAAAGGGATATACAGTATAACTTTACCACCCCTCCCCCCAAAAAGAAAAATAGCCCATGGTAGTCACTTACTTTTTCTTATGATTCTTATTCAAGCAGATATAGTAGCAAGATATACACCCTGTTCTTGCTTTTTTTAAGTTTCACAATATATCTTGGAGATTTTTCCATATTAGAATATGGAGAGCTTTCTTCATTTTTTTTTTTTTTACATTGGCATAGCATATGCCATTGTGTGTGTGTGTGTGTACCATGATTTATTTAACCTGTCCCTATTGATGGACATTTAGGCTGTTTCCAGTTTTTAGTCTCATAAACAGTGGTGCAATAACTAACATTTACACTCATTACTTTGCCCATGTACAAATATCTCTGTAGGTAAATTCCTAGACTAGGTATTTCTGCTTATAGTGTCAAATTGGCCTTTGTAGAGAGGTTAATTATAAATTTCATGAGATCCCAATAAAAGTTACTATAGGAGTTTTCTAAATACTCCTCCCCACCCCCAACTAAAGAACTGATTTTAGAGTTCATATGGAAACATAAAGACCAATTTAAGAAAACTCTGAAAAGAAGTACTGGGGGTGAGGATGGGGCAGTTGGAGAGCGGGAACCTACCTGGTATTAAAACCATGGTGTTAGTACCATTCTTTTTAAATTAATGAGGTTTTTCTATCATGGTTACAGTTTTGTAGGATTAACTGCCTTTCCTCACTCAAAGAGTATTGTTATTTTCCTGTGTTTTCTTAGGTACTCTTGTTTATTTTTTATAAATGATTTCTAGACTCAGCTTTTAACACTCATGATAGTTTTGTGGCATTTTTTAGGGATCACGGTAAATTTATAAATTAACCCTCTGATACAATATTTTTTTGATATGTAACTAAATATGGCTTTGTGATTATACCCTAAAAGCTGTTTCTTATGGGGAAATGAATAGGGGAACTTGTAAATTTGAATGTGTTACATTTAAGTGACATAAACTTCTGGTTTCTTTCTTGTAGGAAAGTGACTATTTCACCCCACAAGGAGAATTCCGTGTAGACAAAGCAGGATCCCCCACTTTATTGAATTGCCTTATGTATAAAATGTCATATTACAGATTTGGGGAAATGCAGGTTAGTTATATTAGTTTTATAATCTTTTTTTAAAGGAATATTTTTAAAGTAGTCTTATTTGCCTCTAGAAAAACAGGATGGTGATGTTTGGTTGTGCTCTAACGAAAGATGTGCTTATCTAAAGATTCCCCTGACATCTCCCCTCCACCATTAAATTTAGATGTCTGAAACTTACATGTGAAAAATTAGGAAAAAAATTTTAGATCAAAGATTTCTTTCCAAAATAATAACACTAGGCTCAAATCCAGCCTTTGCTTGCCTTTTGGCCTCATGTTTTTTGAAGACATTGTTCTTCCAGGGAAGAGGTCTTCCACCTTAGGAAACAATGTGATCTTAAGTAGATTACTTCGGTGCTTGGTGGGGGAAAGCCTGAAATTAAAGAGTTGAATTATGTGGACACATCAGATATTCATTCTATCCCTGTTCTCTTTACCACAGATAGCAAGGACTATCTGGGTTAGAAGTTCCTAGAAAAGTAGAATGATGTGGTATAAAAGCTCAAGGGCCCACAAAATGAATGTATGTGCAAAGTATTGTGACAAAAAGAACAGACAGACAGTGGACTTACTATCATAATACTTGGGTTTTAGATCTGGTTCTATCAAGTCATGTAATCCTTGGACAAGTCACATCTTTCCTGGACTTTTTTTCCCTTGTCTGTATATAATGGGGGTTGGACTGATGACTTGATTTGTAAGGCTCTTTATGGCTCTTAGATCACATGACTATAGTACAAGTTAAACCTTCACACCAGGATTTCAGTGAAAACTGCCTTCTTCCATATTGCATTCTGGTTAAGTTGATACTAGGAGGCAGAGGAAGAATTGCTTAATTTGGTACAGACACCAGGAATCAAGATAATGTTCATCACTATCAATTTGGAATTACTCTGCAGGTGGCTTTAAAAAAATAGACAATAGTTTTACTACTAGATTTAGGTTTTTGTGTTTTGATTTCTAAAGGCCACTGCCTAGTTTCTAACTCATGTTAAGAAAGAAGCATTTAAGCCATAGTAATTAGCTCCCTCAGAAAATGTGTCAAAGATTAGTTTCTCTGTTCACTAATGATAGCAGCAAAGAAGTTTTCTTTCTCTCCTTTAAGTTTATCAATAGTTTTAAGCCATGCTTCTAGCATGTGTTCATTTTGATGCCTTCCCTACTCAAAAATAATATGTAAGACGTGAAGTATAACCTTTCTGTTGTATAGATATGCCTGAACATGTAATTCCCTCATTAGAGTAGATTTAGTTTTGTTTTAAACTTGAATTCACTTATACTCTGTGTCAACATAAACTTAGTCCAAAAACTTCTCAAAATCTCTCCTCCCCCCAGTTTTTCCTCTCTTAGTGCCTTATAAATTCTCCCTTGGTTTGCCCTTTTAAACTTCATTTATAGTTCCCACTCTCAGGAGGAGGTAGTATGCTTACTTGTGCATTTCTTTAACAAATAACGCCACACTGAATAAGATAAAGTCCTAATGCAGCTTCCATCCTGGTGGCAGATACAGGTAATTTTAAAAATAAAGAAAAACTTGAGCACTAGAGAGTAGAAGATAAGAAAACAATGGAGGAGACTTTTCTACCACCAATCTCAAGGAAATGTTTGGGGTTTTGTAAATCAGTACTAATTGGTAATATAAAGTAAATAAGTTTAAAAAATTAATAAGCTTATACATTAATGCCTGACCTAATTTTATGTCAGATTAAAGTGTATCTCTTAAGTAAAAATGAAAATTCTTTCTTGAAGAGATGGAATTTGGGTGGAGACCAAAGGATAGAGAGGAGCCAGCCATATAAAAGAGCTTTAATGAAGAACTTTCTGGCTGAGAGAATAGATAGTGTAAGACCCTGAGGCAGAAAAGAAGTTCCTTCTGAGTGTTCTGTCCATACACCTATAAAAAGGGCTTTGATTTCATTTTGCTGTTTTGGTTTTTTATGCCTGTAGGTTTCTCCACTCTAAGGATTCAGTGAAATTCTAATTCTAATGTATTTAGTTTCTCTCTTCCTGATTTTTTTCCTATCTAATTAGCTGCATATGAGAACCGTTACAATATATTACTCTGATTCTGTTTTCGTAGTTTAAAGGGAGAGAGTTTTACTCTGATAACACTACCTTCTAATACTGAATGCTTTCCAATATAGTTAACATCCAACATGATCACTTTTGCAGTTGGATTTTCGTACACCCCCGGGTTTTGATCGAACACGTAATGCTGAGATTGGAAACAAGGACATTAAATTCAAGCATTTGGAGGAGGCCTTTACATCAGAACACTGGCTTGTAAGAATATATAAAGTGAAAGGACCTGATAACAGGGAAACACTAGACCACAAACCTCGAGTCACCAACATTTTCCCAAAACAGAAGTATCTGTCAAAGAAGGTAGGTATCAGGTGAAGTCATGTTGGTTGTCTAAAAAATAATTACTGAAAATTGCTAATAAATTTACATTTTGTCAGGTTTATACAAAGTAAATATCAAATAGCCTGCTAGGAGCATTCCTTTCAAACTGAGCATTTCGGATATCCCAACCAGCAACTTTTTCTGGATGTATAGTGGGTATCGCTGAACCAAGCTGAGATTTTCCCAGAGGCATTCTGGCTTTAGGTTACTAATTCTTGGTAAGACTTAATTTGTGAAAATGTGGTTTTGGCCATCACTTTCTGAACCTTTGTGAAAGTAAGAATGCCAAACACATAACAGTTATGATCAGTTCTTCATATTTTGGTCAAAGCAAATAAGCATTATATTGCATTTTCATGTTCTGTATTAATAAAGTATAATGTTACTTTATTAATCATTGAATAAAGAATAAGCTTAAGTTGGTTGAATCCCGAATCAAAAAAATCACTTAAGATTATTTTTAAATGTAATTATCATGACAAAGCTTGTAGGCAGGAATTATGATGGTGAGACTATCACAGTCCTTTTGTAATAAATATTTAATAAGATACAAAGTACATTATTGGAGGTTGCTATTGCTCACTTACACCAAATAGATCTAATCTTTGCTACAAAAGCCTACTAAAAATGAGTATGTATATAGGTTGCCCTCTGTGGGAAATGGGAAATGAGTAGTCATAAAATACTAAGTTGTATTTTAAGGTACTGCACTTACAATAATACTAATTATTATTAGACCGTTACAGTCTTAAGTCTTGAAAGGTGCTTGGGTTTACATTGCTCACATGAGAGAGCCATGCCAAGAAGTCTTTTCTGTAGCCCTGGTAACCCTTACCCTCAAAGGGATACCTTCCAAGACCACCTCCAGTGGATGCACGGTTTAGGTAGTACTGAACTGTGTATAAACTTGTTTTTTATACTTACATACCTTTTCACTTAAGGAAGTGCCTTTCAGGGTTTCTCTTTGGTACATATGAATTGCTGGTATCACTACTCTTGTGCTTCGGGACTACTATTAAGTCAGATGAGGTTATTTGAACACAAGCACTGTGATACCATGGCAGTTGATATGATAACCAGGATGGCTACTAAATGGCTATCAAGTGGGGAGTGTATACAGACAGCATGGAGATACTGGACAAAGGGATGATTCATGTATCTGGTCAGATGGCACGAGATTTCATCACACTACTCAGAATGAGACGGAATTTGAAATTTTCCATTTAATATTTTCACACCAAGGATAACTAAAACCATGGATTGGGGGGGAGGGGGTACTGTATTTCAGATCATTGAAGCAGTTATCCCTTTACGTTACTTAAAATATACTTCAAATATATTCAGAATGCAGGTACTTCAGTTTCTACTGTAAAAGCATGATATGTAAATTTAAAAATTTAGAATACTTTCTATGTCAGATACAGATTACTGTATCTAGACTACTGTATTTAAATGTCACAGCTGACACTATGTTAGTCATCAAATTCATTTACTAGTAGTCTTTACGTCAAATGACAAATCGAATGATCTGGTTTCTGACAGGCATGTGGTAGGAGAAACTGGTGAGTCATATCAGTGCAGAAGTCAAAGCAAATGCTGCTAGTCTCAAGGCAGTTTACTCCTCAGCCATCTAAGCCTGGTTAAGGTCTATTTCTGAAAAACAAGGCCATTGAACTTGTCTTACTAATTGTGAGTTTTCTTAATTTGACCTCTTTTGTCTTCCCGTCATTTCCCCAGAATAGTGAATGGATAAATAGCGAATGGATAAATCAAAATTATTTTTTTAAATATATCTTTATTGATTTCAGAGAGAGGAAAGGAGAGGGAGGGAGGGAGGGAGAGAGAGAGAGAGAGATAGAAACATCAATGATGAGAGAGTCATTGATCAGCTGCCTCCTGCACGCCCCCTACTGGGGATCGAGCCCCCAACCCAGGCATGCACCCTGATCGGAAATCGAACCCCGATCACCTGGATCCTAGGTTGATGCTCAACCAATGAGCCATGCCCAGCCTGGCAAAATTCTTTTTGTCTGTCTTATATGCCCAAAACATATATTCTAGTAGCCAACAACTTGGATTTTGAATTTCTGGTTTCCATGGCTTTCTATTCTGTTTTGCACTACCGTAACTAGAGGAATGCTGGTTGGTTGTTTGCTTTCCTCTCTCTGCCCTGGTTTTTACTCTGGGTTAGGGTGGGGTGAATACAGCAGTGATTCTGGTAGTTTTCCTGCCTCTGCAAAGCTGACATGGCTGAGGCACTAGGAACTGTAGTCCAGGGCTACAGAAAAGACTTTTTGGCATGGCTCACTATCCACAGAGAAAAAAACACCTAGAGGGCCCAGCCGAGTTTTACATGCTTTGCAAAGACCTGGGCCATTTTACAGGATCTAACAGAAAAGGTTTCATGCTAGAAATCGTGTGTAATGACGATAAAGAAACTAGCTCCTCTGAAACTTTTTACTTTTTGCCTTAAGTAAGCTAATAATAAGATAACATTGTGAACAAGCTAGCAGCAGCTAATTTTTGTAACCTTAATAAGGATTGCATTTTTACCTCAATCTTTTCCCTGGTAGAAAAAATTATGAATTGTTTTAAATTGAACATCATAAATAAATGTACATGATATAGGATATACCCTAGGTTTCTGAAATCTCCAAGGGTTGTATTTAAATGTGAAAATTGAATTGAGGGGTCAGTCTCTTGAGTCTTCAGCCTCTGCTTAACACAGTGCTTTGATGGTACATTAAATTACTTGTTTCCAAAAAATATTTTCTTCTATCAATACCTGGTGGATATTTCAGATTGGCTGACACATGTGCCTATATGATTTATCTTACAGGATTCTAACATTGCAAACATTTTTGCAGTAATTTCTGCCAGCACATTTGTAGTAATTTGTTTTTTCTTATAGCAGAAAACATCTGTTAAAGGTATTTTAGTGGGATCCAGAAGTGTTAAGAAAAATTTGTTATTTTTCAAAGATCTATGAAACTCTGGGAATGTTATGGGGTTTTTTTCCCTAGGTGTTTGGTATGTGATATGCACTTGAAGAATGTTCTTATACTCCTTTCATCTTAAAGCTAAGGATCTAGTCCATTTATCTTGGATCTTTCAGCATAGTTGGCTGAAAGTTAGTGGTACTCACTGTTCAAGGAGTCCAGCTATAGGAAGAGCTAAGGGTTTATTAAGGCAATCTTCTTCATCTTGCAGTAAACCTTGTGTGTATATTTTTTTTAATCTGTAGGGAACCTGCACTAACACCATGTGTTGTGTTTTGTGTGTTTTTAGACTACGAAAAGGAAGCGTGGCTACATTAAAAATAAGCTCGTTTTTAAGAAAGGCAAGAAAATATCTAAGAAGACTGTTTAAAGAAGACTGTTTAACACTGTTCTGGTTCCTAACTTGAAGCAGTTGTCCTTGTGAGAACCAGTCTTTGCCTTTAGCTCACGTCATGTTTCACAGCAACAGAGGGTACAGAGAACCATCACTGTTCCAGGTTAATGTACAAAATTTCCTGGCAATGCCTGATTTCAAAAATAAAATTGGTTTATTGAGAACAGCTGTTTTTGACTTGTAACGTGAAGCAAGACAGAGCACTGCTGTAAATGTTTAACAGCAGATTTTTATTTTATTTTTTTTTTGGTACATATTATCCTTCAAATCTGAGAATTTGGACTAATTGCACCAAAGAACCCTCTAATTTGGTCCCTGGCACATGCATACTTATCAATGTTTTTATTCTTTTACAAGACCTGCATTTTTTTTAATTACCCAAATAGCAATATATAAAGTAAAAATGACAAAATGTGATACAAGCTTCTTGAATCAGTAAACTAGTACAGGTCTGAGAAAGAGGTATTAGAAACATAATTATACTTCTTTGAATTATATTTATTTTCGTGTTTCTCCAGTGCAAAGACTGTTTCATCAAATGCACATTTTCTGTTGCTTACTGTTTGCTCTAAGAAGCAGCTGCTGTTTCAAATATGAACCTCTGAGTAACTAATTGATTCAGATAGTTTTTTATGTTGACGTATTATTGCTGCTGTTAGCAGTTGTTTTCACCAGGTACTTGACAGAGCAGATCTCATACGTTGTTCATTCAAGGGCTAAATTTATATCCTTTGGAAATCATGGCAACTGCACAGAATGTTGCTTACTAGAATAGAGTTTGTATCTCAGCACTGAGGTTAGCACTGAGGTTACTAGGATGGAGTTTGTATCTCAGCACTTATGTTTACATGTTGTAAAACATTAAGGAAGAAACCGTTAAAGTGGACAGGTGTCCAAAGTTCACTATCTGTGACTCTTCAAAATGACAAAGGATTTGTAAACTTTGCCTAGAGTTCTCTCGTTTTATAACAGTTTCGTCTATCACAATGATTTTGTCTTCTGCTCCATATTGTTTTAATCCCGTAAGCATTTGATGAAACACTCTTTAATGCTATTTGAATTTTTCTTAAAAGATGTGACAGTTGTCAAAAATGCACTAAAATATAAATGGAGATTGAATATGTTCACTTTCCAGCTTATAGGCAACTTTATATAGACTTGAACATTTTCTCCAGTTTAGTAAAAGTGAAAGAAAGTGTTTTTCCTGCCACAGGATATAACTTTTTTTATACAAACAAGCATAACTTACACCACTGCTTTTGGTGGAAAAGTACAGAATAGTATGTACCTTTTATGAAGAAAAGTGTAATTTACAATATTCCGTGAGAATGTTACTGCTGATTTTCTTTTCCAAAGTGTAGAATATTCTTTGATTTATAGAAATTCATTTTTGACCCAGATGATGGTTCTTTTACAGACCAATAAAATGGCTGAACATTTTCACAAGTAAATTGTAACTAAATCTGGATTTCTGATACCTTGTCATTTGGGGGATTTTATTTTACTTTGTTGCTTTAAAATTCAATGCGGAGAAGTTGTTGACTGTAGGGGAAATAAAGTTAATTCAAATTTTGTGTTAAGTGCGTTGTCTTTTACAAACCTGTTTTTGAAAGGAGTTAAGAGTAGTGAACACACTTCCTTACTCGCTTTTACAAAGGTTTTAGAGAATGTGTGTAGAAAAGAAGTGCTAGATTAGTTCAGCTTCGACCTACCATTTTGTTTTGCCTTCTTTTTGCCCTAGAATGAAAATCCCTTGACTTTTTATGGATGAGTGGGGAGAACACCTATCACCTCTAACAAAAACCCTGCTTCATAAAGTTGTGGTATTTAATCAGTTAAGTCTTCATTGTAGAAATTTCCTCATTGAGACCAGGAATGATCTCACCTTTCTCAGTTTTAGGAAACACCATTTTGGTCCAGTGGATTGCCTCGATAAAACACCATAATGTAACAGCACTTGTGATTTTACTGTATCAGAAAAGCAAAACTATATAGTAGTTTAAGTACACTGGAATATAGGATAATTGGCTCAGAATATTCTTTGGATCTCTCAATTCATTTCATGTATGATCATTAACACTGAACATTACAGAGGGGGATATTAAATATCAACACCTCCAAGTTTTAGACGATACAGTAGCTTTTGTTTTTGTTCCACATCTTAGAACTGAACAAAGTTGAGTACTTTGTAGTATAAATTATAGGAGGTAAGGCAGCAAGTCCAAAGATAAAGTGAAGTTTTCAAAATTACATTATTACCTACTTGAATTTGCATTTGTAGAGTTTTACTTCATTTGAGTCCCTAGGCCATGACCAAGAAGCCAGCATTTTTCCATAGCTAAAGGACCATAAGATCATGAAATCTGTAGCTACTGCACCTTTAAAAAATTTTTTTAATTATAATACAAAATTTACATTATTAATCACTTTTAAATGTATAGTTCAGTAGTGTTCAATACATTCACATTGTTGTGTGACCAATCTCCAGAATTCTCTTGCAGTTGCTGTTTCTTGAATGGTGGGTTTTATTGGATGTCTGCCTTGCTGTTCATAACATTCAGTTGAAAGGTAGGTGAAGTAATGGATAAAGGTAGAGCTCAGCAGCAGGCTGCGATTCAGATTTAGGAAACTGAGACAGACAAACCAGGAAGGAAATTGCATGTCTACTGTTTCTTTTAAATTAAACCATTTTTTTCCATTGTGAAATTAACACAGAGAACACAAAAATGTACACCTTGGTGGACACAAAACAAGCAGCTCTGTAGCCACACCCAAGTCAAGAGACTAGAATGGTGCCCGAGACTCCAGAAGCCCCCCTAGTCACTTGCCTACCCACGTCTCCTTCCGCAAGGCAATCACCGTCCTGGCTTTTAAGGTAATTACTTTGATTTCTGGTTTTAATACTTAATGTGTTTGGAGAGAAATACTTGTTTAATTGCACCTATTCTTTCAATAGTAAAAACACAATCAAAGTATGTATTTTTCTTGTACCTAGCTTCAGTTTTTGTGAAACTCATCCAGAGTATTGCATGCAGCTGTGAGTTTATTTTGGCTGATGTATAGTATTCCCTTACATGGGAGGGGGGGTGTCCCCTTCCCCGTGTGTGTGTGTGTGTCTGTGTGTCTGTTCCTTTCCCCTCCCTCCTCCCATCCCATTCTATTGTTGATGTATATTTGCATCATTTCAGTTTGAGGATATTACAAATAATGCTGTAGAAATATTTTTTTACATCTCTCCTGGAGCTTCTATGCATACATTTTTGTGGGTATTTACCTAATAAAAAGCAGAATTGCTAGGTAGAATGAGGAGGTTTTTGTTAGTCACATCCTAATCAGCCCTTGTCTTTAATTTTGCCTCCTGTTCAGTTGAACAGTGGTTTCTCATTCTGTTTAACTTTCGTTTTCTAGGTTCCCAATGAGGTTGGCCTTTTGGAACCTCTTTTTTATGAGGTTTTAGTTCTAGACAATTTTTCTGTTGATTTTTTTTATATTAGTAGTTATTTATATACCCTCTATATAAGCCCTTCATCGTTTCTTACAATATGCCTAGGAATTGGTTATTTGAATCTTATTATTCAATCTTTTTGTGAGCCTGTAGATTTCTATCCCCCGTGCAATACTTCTGCAGCGAACCAGGTTATCCACGAGTCTATTCTTAACTCTGTTAAATTCCATAGTATGTGTTGACTGATATAACTTGAAGGTAATTAGATATGGTAAAGCAAGTCCCTCTCCCATCCCCACCTTGTTCTTTCATGTAAGTTTTAGAACCAAGTTGTCAGTAACGCCAAGAAAAAGAAAGCTTTTCAGGCTTTTGATGGGCATTGAAACTGTACTGGGAAAATTAGCATCTTTAAAATATTGAGTACTCTATGAACATGGCATATCCTTTGATTTATATAGGTCTATATCATCTTTATAGTTTTGAAATGGGTCATGCACACTTTCTAAGTTATTACAAAGTATAAGTTACTTTTGATAAATGCTGTCTTATAAAATTTTCTAGTTGTCAGTATATATAATGTTTGGTTTTATATGTTGAGATTATACTCAACAATTTGTTATATTCTAATATTCAGATTTTTATTATAAACATATGCCATCCTAATTGGGGAATAGTGGCAGTTTAACTTCCTTCTTTCTAATGGTTATTTAATTTTTTTGCTTTTGCTGCCCTGGTTAGGACATCCAGTATAGTACTACATAGAAAAGGTAACATCCTTGTTGTCGTCTTTATCCCACATGGGAAATTTTTTATATTTCTCCTTTAAGTATGTTTGTTGTAGATTTTTCTGTAGATAACTTTGGTCAGATTGAGAACATATTTTTCCCATTTGCTATGAGTTTTATCAAGTGATTTTTTAAAAATTTATTTAGATGATTTAGGTGTTTCTCCTGTATTGTTAATGTAGTGAATTAGAGACTTTCTGTTCATAGTGTAAACTAAATTTGCATTCCTGGAGTAATGATCAGCGTTTGATAGGATTTGCTGGTGTAAACCATTTGTGCCTGGATTTTTCTTTGTGCAAAGGTTTTTAATTACAGATTCAATTATTTTACAGACACTTTTTTTTTTCCCTTATGTCAGTTTTGGTGTTTTTTAAGGAATTTGTCCGTTTCGTCTAAATTTTCAAATAGATTGTAAAATTGTTGCTAATTTCACTTAATGATTATTTAACGTATGAAGATTTTATAGTGATGTCCTCTTCATTCCTGAGATTGGTTTTCTTTTTTCTAATTGCATCCGTTTTTGTCTCTTCTCATTACCTGGCTCATTTTCCTTTGGTTTTTATCAATTTTGTTTCCTTTTTCTTTCAAAGTCTAGCTTATGGTTTTGTTGACATTTTCTATAGTATGTTTTTTATTTTATCAGTTTGTGTTAGTTTTCTTTTATATCCTTGAAGGAGAGGTGTTCTTTTTAATGTATATTGATTTCTTCTTTTCCTAATGTATTAAAGTTATACATCTACTCCAAGCAGAGTTTAAGTTACATTCTCAAAAATTTTGATGTGAACTGTCATTTAGTTAATGCATAGTTTAATTGCCATTGTACTTTCTTCTTTGAGCCATGGGTTGATGGACATTTCTTGATTTTCAGTATGGTGGTTTTCTAGTTATCCTTTTATTATCAATGTCCACTACATTGTAGACAGACACTTTGGTTTTAATCCTTTGAAAATGGTTAAAATTTGCTCTGTGATCCTGTGTGTGTGTGTGTCCATCCCTGAAGCTTGTTATTTGCTGAGAAGGATATACTGTAATCATATATTAGTAAGCATTTGCTTCCTTCTTGAACTGTCAACTTTTTCTTTAAAGTTTTGAACATTTATTAGGTATACATACATTTGAACTTTGGGAAATATCAAACTTATGCTTTTTGTTAAAGCCTGTTTTGTCTGATTAGTAATAGTGATATATTAGCATTCTTAAGATGTTTTTGTGATGTATCTTTTTCATCCTCATAAGATGTCCTACTTTGGATTTGCTGAGCTTTTAACACTGTAGCTCGTTGGTTTTGTGTGTTTTTTTAATTCTCAGTCATCTCTTTCATCATTGCTTCTGCCCCGTTCGCTCTCCTTTTGCCATGCCATTCTGTATTTTCTACTGAGTCACTTATCAGTTATTGCTAATCTGGTATTAAACTTACTCCATTTTTTAATTCTAGAATTTATCTTCCCCCTCAATTTGTTGTTTATTCTAGTGTAACCCATAAAAAGATAGACAATAGAGACCTATGTTAGTGGGTCTATATGGGAATGATTTTTAGGTTTTTAATGTATTCAGTTAATGGAAATATGAGTTTTATTTTACTCCTCATCTGAGGATATGTTATTTTAGAGAGGGAGAGAGAAAAATATTTATTGGTTGCCTCCTGTACATGCCCCGACCGGGAATTGAACCTGCAACCTTTTGGTGTATGGGACAACACTCCAACTGAGCTACCTGGCCAAGGCTGAGTTTTATTTTTTTATTTCAACCGTTTGTTGAAAAGACTATTTCTCCCATTTAATTGACACCACTGCAGAAAACAAAATGTGTTGATCTATTCCTGAGTATTCTATTCCATTAATTTGTGTGTCCTCACACCAGTACATTTTCTTGATCTACCTTTTCATTGAGTTCCACACCTTTGTTCAGTGGCCTTTTTATATTTACCCTGGGACTATAGGCACACACGGATATTTGGTTACCCAACCTACAACTGACATAGGATTAATATCCAGAACATATAAACTCTTAGAGAAAAACAAAAGATTTTTATTAATCCTTAACCAAAGGAATATAAGTGACAAATATATGAAAAGGAACATACCTACCAGGGTAGCTAAAATGTGTAAATAAGTGTTAAGATGTGCAGAAACAAACTCTCATTACCAGTGGGTAAACTAAAAATCACCCTGGAAAACCATTCAGCAGTAGCTGATGGAGTTGTAGATACACATCCCTGTATCTCAGCAGTTCTTCTAGGTCTATTAAAGTTGATGTTCTAGTGTGGTCTTAAGTCAGCTACTAGGTATATTGGTTCTGGAGGCCATTAGGGAGGTCTCTGATGCAGGCAAAGGTCAGCCAGTTTGTGCCAGCATGGGGCCACTTGGTGGGATCTACAGAGTGATTTGCAGTTCCTTGGTTGCTTGTGCTGGGCTTGGAGGAGGCTTGCTGTGAACTGAGGCCAGCTACCACTAGTACTGGACCTGGGACCCTTTGTGGGCACCGTGATGAGAGCTCGGGCCAGCCAACTACAGTTCCAGGCCAAGACTTCTCACTGCTTTTGCCAGGCTTAGAGATAGTTGGTTAACGTTTCAATGCTAGTTGAGAATGGTTGCCGCTTGTGCTGGGCTTGGGCCAGCTTAGCACCAGGTATAGGACATGCAAGGCCAGCTGCTGCTTGTTTGGCATTGATGGATCTTTGAGAGATTTTAGGAAAGTCCACAGCATGAACCTAGGCAGGCTGCTTATGTGGAAAAGCTGCTGGAAGCGTCTTGGACGGGGTGCATGAGTTGTGTAGGGCCTTAAGGACTTACCAGAGCAAGGCATAGGGTATTAGCCAGGTTCTGCTCTGCATGAACAATTGCCTGTCTGTGACTGCCTGTTGAATGGGGTGAGGGCTCAATAAAAGAACAATAGTGCCTGCCATCACTTCCATCCGGAGAGAGCTGCCCTGACCCTCCAAGCCTTGCACTACAGCTTATCAGTTCAGTGCTTTTCTGTATGTCCTTGGTGCTGGTCTAGGTGCTGCCTCACTGCTTGAGTTTGTGAGAGAGCAAGTCTGTGCTCGGGGCCCCTCAATAGGAACTCTTCTTCCCAGAACTAAGGCCCAGGTTGGGGAACCAGGTGTGTGACTTCCGTAGCTGAGATATCACTCCCAATTACTTGAGTTGGATTTTGGTTACATGAAATAATGAAAATAATTCATTACACTGATTTTATTTTTCCACTGTGCTTGTGTTATGTTGCACACAAAGAAAATGAGAACAAGGTTATAGACAAGGAGGCTCCAGGCCCTCATTCCTTCATGAAAACATTAAGAAAAATAAAAAGACTGGCCAAAGTTAACTTCATAAGGGCTCTGGGAAACAATCAGTGGACTACAGCAACTGAATAAATGCACAATGAAGAAAAAGTCATCTTCAAAAATAGGAAATTTTATGGTGTACAGTTTATTCATCTTTACCCCACCCTGGGGCTCCACAGTGTAGCGTTGGGAGAAAGCAGCAGCCTACCTCGCAGTGACCTCTTTCAAATGACAGGGAGCAGAGCACTTGCTTGCAATGTTCTAATGTGTCTGCAGCTGCCTGAAGAGCTGGTCTCTGTTTCACCGAACTTGGCTCTGGTGGGCAAAAGTGCTACAGCTCAGATCTCAGGCTGGGAAAAGCAGCAGAGAGACAAAGGACCTGGAGATGCTTTAGCAAAAAACTTAGATAGGGGAACAAGAGACTATCTAAGGTCCTGAGACGTTAGGGAAAATCTGGAAAATTAAGACATGTAAAGAGCCCTTAACACTATTTTGTTCTGCTCTGGCGATTACCTGAGACCCCACCCAACTCACTCACCTGGCCTGAGCCTTTTTCCAGAATAAGGCTCCTTCACACAAGCACTTTACCTTAGCCCACGTTGTGGACTTCACAAAACCTCTCCAAGATACTCCAAAGCACCCGCTGCTAGCTTCGGCCTGCCCTGCAGCTTTCACTAAGCAGCCCCACGCCCAGCACAGGTGGCAACCAGTTTTGGCCAAGAACATAGCTTCAACTAAGCAGCCACATGCCCAGTACAAGTGGCGGAGCACAACAGCACATTAAAACGATTAGACACCGTGATGATGTGGGATTCTTGGAATGGAAGGATGGGTCAACCTATAAAACCAATGCAGTAATGCACCAAACCTTAACAGGACAAAGGGGCAGATAAAGCATTCGACAAAATTCAACCACCTTTCACGACAAAACCACTCGACAACTAGGAACGGAAGGAAACTACCTCCACATGAAGGCCACAGTTTACGTGCACAGTGATGAAAGACTGCAAGTCTTTCCTCTAAGACCAGGAACAAGGCGGGGTACCAGCTTTACCACTTCCACGCAGGTAGTGGCAATTCTAGCCAGGTCAGCTGGGTGATAAATAAAAGGCATCCAGGTTAGAAAGGAAGAAGTAGAATTATGTCTGGTCACAGAAGACATAGCATGATCTTCTATCTAGATAACCCTAAAGATTACAGAACTAATATATCCAGCAAAGTTGCCGGCTACACAGTCAACACATGAAAGTCAGTTGTTTATACATACTAACAATGAACAATCTAAAAAGGAAATTGAAAACAATTCCATATGTTATCATATCAGAAAGAGTAAAATATGTAGGAATAAACTCAGGAGGTGAAAGACGTGTATACTGAAAACTACAAAATATCCCTGAAAGAAATGGAAGATGACATAAATAAATGGAAAGACATCCTATGTTAGTGGATTGGAAATAAGATGGCACTACTTCACGTGGCAATCTAGAGAGGCAATACAATGCCTATCGATTCCAATGATGTTTTTAGCAAAAATAATTGATAATGATCTCAAGGGAGCCAGAACAATCTTGAAAAAAATAGTTGAAAGTCTCACACTTCCTGATTTCAAAACTTACCTACAGAGCCACAATAATCAAAATAATGTACTGGCATAATGACAGACATAGACCAATGGAATAGACTAGAGAGCCCAGGAAAAATCCCTGCATAGATGGTCACATAATTTTTTATCCGGATGTTCGATGGGGAAAGGGAGAGTTCTTCAACAAATGGTCCTAGGAAATCAGGATAATGAAGTTGGGACTCTTACCTAACACAGTATACAAAAGTTAACTTTAATGCATCAAAAATCTAAACGTAAGAGCTAAAGCTATAAAACCTGGAAGAAAGCATAGGGGAGAAGCTCTATAAAATGAGATTTGGCAATGACTCCTTGGATATCACAACAAAAGCACAAAGTACAAAAGAAAAAATAGAGAAATTGGACTTCATCAAAATTACTTTTGTACATCAAAGGATACGTAAAAAGGCAGCCCAAAGAATGGGGAAAATATTTATAAAACATTTAATAAAGGATTACTCCCCAGAATATATAAAGAACTACAACTCCACACATAAAACAACCCAGTTAGAAAATGAGCAAAGTCGTCGGACAGACACTCCTGTAAAGATATCCAAGTGGCCAATAAACACAGGAGAGGCTCACCGTCACTGGTTAGCAGGGAAATGCTAGTCAAAATCACAGTGAAGATAAGCAGAAAATTAATGTGTGGGGGAATGTGAAGAAATTCAAACCCTTGTGCATTGCTGGTGAGGCTGCACAGTGGTGTAGTCACTGTGGAAAACAGTATGGCAGGTGCTCTCAACATGAAATTTTCATATGTCTGGGTATATATCCTTAAAAGAATTGAAACGGACTCAGAGAGATACTTGTACTCCCAAGTTCATAGTAGCAGCACTCAAAATAGCCAAAAGATAGAAACAACCCAAATGTTCATGATGGGAAAGTAAACAAAATGTAATATATATACATACAATGGAATATTATTCAGTCTTAAAGAGGGAGGAACTTCACCTTGAACACATAAATACGCCAGACACAAAAAGGCAAGTACAGTATCATTCCACTTATATGAGGTATTCAGTCAAATTCATAAACAAATAGAATGGTGGTTGCTAATGGTTTCAGAGGAGTGGAATGGGAGGTGTTGTCTTATGGGTACAGTTTCAGTTTGGGCACGTAGAGCTCAGCAAAAAAGAAAATTGAACAGAGCAATGCGTAACAAGGACTGACCTATAAACAAAATGTTAGCTCAAATAAGCAAACTATGATATGATTCCATTTATACAAAGTCCAAAAATAGGCAAAATCAAGCATGCTCTTAGAAATATGGAGAAAGGGCGGGGGGTACTCAAGAGGATGATTACTCCGGGAGTCAGGATAGTGGTGGTATTACCCCTGGGTCAAAGAGGTGGATACATTTCACAACTTTTTAAAAGGCAGTAAGCCCACTCCACGACCCCAAAGAAAAGTGAACGTTCTCCATGTTTTACTTACCAGATGATTTATACTTTGAAGTAAGGCTGAAAAATCTAAAAACACCACAGTGATTACTTTTTAGTCTTTTCATTGAGGATTTTTTTCTCAAAATTACATCTATTCTGCTTTTCTTCTCAAAAATGAAATAGTTCCAAACACTTTATTCTCCTAGATATTTTTAAGACTATGCCCCTAAACAAGCATAAATTATTACTTTGTCTGATAGGAACTTGTCACAGAATATCATTAACAATATCTAACCAATAAAATTTGAGCTCATTTAGAGCCACCAATTCCAACAGAACTTTTGAATCCCTAAAAATAAAACACACAGATAGGTATAGTATTTAATCGAAATATATTTGTCTAATATCTACAAAGTGTGAACATTTGGTCTTAAGAAAGCAGACAAAAGGCACAAAATTAGTATTACTGCAGAGAAGCATTCATGCTACTGGATTTTATAAATATTTCTTCAGAGTGACACAGTAAAAATAAACTAAGCATTGAGCAAAAATCAGATGTCATTTTTCCCTTGCTTTATGTCTTGACCTCATTTGTAAAGGCTGAGTACTGAAATTCAGCTGAAACCATGGAACACTTAGGCAGGCTTTATTTTAATAACAGTGGTTTTCTTGCAGAGTTTGGGTCAAATAATAGAGGTACACTAAAAAAATCCACAGGAAATTTCTTTCCCTCTCACCAAACTGAACACAAGATTGAGGATGTGGTTGTGCATGTTTATATATGCATGCGTGTTAACTTCTAAAGCCCTTTTTTCATCATAAAAGTAGTGAAGTCTCCATATGACTTGTTTTCTACTGTAAGCAGCAGCTTCTAAAAAAATGTATGACTAGTGCTTTGAGCATGAGAAATTGTCAGAAAGTTTCTGGGGCAAGTAGATAGGAAAATTCCAAGGTGGGCCTGGCTCTAGCTTCTCCCAGAGGTGCTCCATCCTGAAAGGCTCTGGCATAAACCATAATAGTTTCCTGCCCACTCCCCATTCAGCAGAATATAGCTGTTTATCTTTCTGGAGTATGGACAAATGAAATGTTGAAGTGGGGAAGATGGTGGGAATCATAATACTTTTGAAATGACAGGAATTGAACCACTTTTCTACCAGATGGGTGCCAGTTGGGCCATGCCAATTCACTTTTGTTTCAACAGGAGTTGACTACGTGAGAATATCTTTGTAAGTGCAAAATATTTTTGGCAAAGTGAAAAATAGAAAAGGTCAAACCTCAGTGATAAAAAGGAGCCCATAATTACCCACTTAAATCTTGTTAAGTGTAGTATTTACACGTGTAATACCCAGTAGACGGGTATATAATGCTTGTCTGAACAGGAAGTGTGCCAAGAGCTCACAGCTGTACACACACATGCCCCAAATGGCTCTTGAATAAACTCAATCCTATAGCAGAGTTTGGGGTACCTTTTTCACAGTATATAATCTCTCAGGTACCATTTCTTGAATGACATCAATAGGTCGCAGTAAATACCAACAGAACCTTGATACTGTACCACTTTAATTCCTACAAAAACAGGGCTCTTTCAGAAGACTGCACCTCCACCCCGTCAGTGTGCCTTCCAAAGGGGATTGTAGTAGACCCAGCCATCACCCTGCAAGAGAAGGGAGGAGACATTACATGGAGACCGCAAAGGGGAGAAACAAGAAAATTCCCAGACTCGGCTAGACTGGAAGCTGAGTACATGCAGAGCAGCTGCAGTTCAGGACCACCAGTGTGTCTGCCTTGTTCCTGATATCGCAGCCATGCCAGGCTGTGGCCTCACCACCCGTCTTCAGCCGTTTTTTCCTGCCTCACTCCTTGAGTTGGGACATCTCATCTGCCCCTGGACAGGGATTTACACCACCGGCTCTCCTGGTCGCCAGGCCTTCAGACTTGGACCGAATTACACCATCAGCTTCCCCAGGTCTCCAGCTTGCAAATCGCTGGTCCTGGGGATCTGGGGCCTCCATAATCTCATGAGCCAGTTCTGCATAATCTACATGTATTTGTCTCCCATTGGTTCTGTTTCTGTTGTTTCTCCGGGGAACCCTGACTAATAATACAGATTCGCCTCACCTGGGCAAGGCTTCCAGGCAGGGCTCGCAGTCTCCCGCGGGAGGCCGCCTGTCAGAACCAGAATCCAACCTTGGGGTCTCCAGTCCACAGCCGCAGTTCCTGCCTCCGGGGGGAACAGTGGCTGCTAACTGCTCCTCACCAGAAGGCCACCTCACAGTTACTAACCCCGAAGCCACCTAGCTACGTAGTAGTCCTTGTAGCAGAAGTCAGGCCCTACCAGTACCTGAGCCAAAGAAGCCCAGATATACTTGTTTGCTCTTAGTGTTTAAGTTCTGTTCCACCATGTGAATATTTCTCATAAAAAATTCAGATTTCTGGCTTGTGAAGAATAGGACAGTTTGAGACTGCCTTGAGGTAAGTGGCACCCACCCCCTTTGTATATAGACTGTCGCTTCTGCCCCAGTCCTCACCAGCCTGTTTCTCATCGATGCTGCCAGGCTCATGGCCTGCCTTAAAAATTGGCTTTGCCCGGCCGAGTGTGGCTCAGCGGTTGAGCGTCAACCTAGGATCCAGGCGATCGGGGTTCGATTCCCAGTCAGGGCACATGCCCGGGTTGCAGGCTTAATCCCCAGTCGGGGACATGCAGGAGGCCGCCGATCAATGACTCTCTCATCACTGATGTTTCTCTCTCTCTCCCCCTCTCCTTTCCTCTCTCTGAAATCAATAAAGATGTATTAAAAAAAAAAAAAAAATGGCTTCTACGGTCCCATTATTTCCAGTTCTGTTCTCAGGCTTCCCACTTGCTCCACAAACCATTTCAAGAGTAAACCATTACAACTGTGCACACACCAAGTGCCTTACCCATTGCCCAGTAGGTGGGCAGTCATAGATTTATTTCTGCCTTCCAATGTCACTTTCCTGGGTGACAGCAGCAGCATTTAGGCACTGGACTCAGGCTGGCCTGTCCTAGCATGTCCATCCCGTGTGGCCCACAGGAGGCAGAGCTCTGAAGGGCAGCTCTCAGTCATGAAGGCCCCAGCCCACTCGGGTGTGCAGACTGGCTGAGAGGTGCTTCACGACCAGCTTGCAGCTACTAATAAAGCAGCAGGGGGTGTTTCTTTCTATGAAGGGGACAGCGTCCAGATCTGCAGTCCCATTTCTTGCCCTCCCTGGCAGGCTGAGGGGCTCTTCTGACGGAGGCTGCCAGAGGGACTATCAGGTGCAGGTGCCCAGTCCTGCCCACAGGATGACCTTGCACCAAGCTGCCCCCAATCTTCCTAAGACTCTGCCCCGTCCTCATTCATCCAAATGGCTGCGTTAGCCATACATCCATCTACCCCTGAGGACAAACGCCCAAAACAGGCAGCAGTTACCTCCTGGATAAAATACTTGGGCCGCCATGGGGTGCGGAGGTTCTCCCGCTTCCGCTCCTCCATCCGCTGCTTCTCCTCCAGGCGCCGCTTCTGCTCAGTGGCGGCATCAATGTCCCCCAGCCGCAGGTATCGGGTCACCTCCCGCCAGAGGTTCCTGGGGACACATGGAGGAGAGGAAATGGGTCAGGCAGGGACAGCAAGCTCAAGGACGCTCCTCCTCGGCAAGGGGCCAGAGCCGGGAAGAGGACATCTGGGCAGGCCGTCTGTAGGGGTGGCTCGTTCCAGGTGCCTCAGACCCCCTAGAGCCAGGATTTCAGCCCACAGCTCCCTGGCTCCAAGCCAAGCTGTAAGCCCCTCTTGTCCAGGGGAGCCCTCCCTGAGAAGGGGAGGTCATCATGGCAAAGGGCTGGCAAGTGGCTGAGGCAGGGCGCGGCTGGCATCACTGGGCACTGGTCCTGCCTTCCCCACCAGGGCCCTGGGGGCTCTGGCCAAGGTAGAGCATCTGCTCAAACCAAACTCTGGGCATCATGAGCAAAGGCATGGTGTGGGCAGGCAAATACACATGTATCTGCACTCTTCCCTGATGGAGCAGCGGCCCCTCCCCTCCAAGGGGCTAGCGCACTGAGGGCTAGACAGCTGTCTGACCACCGGCCCTCCTGCCACGCAGCTGGGCCTCTGCCTCTGCAGGTGAGGCACGGAGACGCGCTGGGTGAGTGGGCTCAGGTGCTCTGAGCAGCGGGGAGCCCCTGGACCAGCTACACCACCTTCCAGGGCCTTCCTCTAGGGAACACAAGGTGGACTGGGCTCCGTTTCCCTGCAGTTCAGCTCCGTGTTCCAGTAGCATCCACATATGTGAGCCCAAAAGAGGTGGCACCCCGTCTGACTCCTGTACCAGACCCCATTCCCACTCCAGGCTGAATCCCGAGTTCCCTTGGGCTAAGAGGCAGCAGAGACTTAGTGAGGAGCAGCTAACCTACTCCAGATCCTTCGAAGACCACAAGGTGATCGGTTCTGTTCTCAGCTGCCAAACCAGAAACAACAGTCCTGCCATGAGTGTGGGCAAGGGGATGGCTTTCTGTCTTGCAGCCTGTCCCTTGTCCTGCTACTACTGCCCATTGCCCAACAGACTGAGCTGGAAAAGCCAGCGGGTGAGAGTTCATGCCCTCCATTTGGACACAGAGGTTATACTCACTGTCCCCGAATAATGAGGATGAGAGTGCTAATCCTACACAAAGCAGAGGTCCAGCGGTACTGGGGCCCTGGCTGTATTAAACTCAGGTATAACGTACTTACACTGTGGTAGCCTGCTTCACTCTGACGTAGTTAACACTTCCCACTGGTTACAAACCCTTATAAAGGCAAACCTGTCACAGAATCATCTGTAATTTTATTTTAACCCTCCCTCACCTTTCTAAAGAGCAGCACATGCTATTAGATGAGAGCGGTGCTCGGCAAATATTTTCTGTAAAGGGCCAGACATTAGGCATTTTAGGCTCAGCAGGCCATATGGTCTTGGTCACAACTACTTAATTGCCATTGTAGCAGGAAAGCAGCCATAAGCAATAATCATGGCTATGTTCCCATAAGATTTTACAAATATCAGCTACAGGCTGGATTTGGCCCCGGCCACAGTCTGCTGAGCTCCTGGATTAAAAAATCAAAATGGCACATTCCAAGCAGAGTCTGTGTCTGCATGAACATCACTCGAAGGGGCCGCGTTTTACTCATGCTGCAGAGCGGACACGCTAACTGATCAGATACTCTATATAATTTACTTAACTGTTTCCCTCCAGTGGAACAGGCAGCTAGCTGGTTGCTTTTTCTTTTTTTTTTTCTTTTTTTTGATTTTTTAATATACTCAATTTTATGTTTAAAACTTTTCCTGAAATTTAAGAATTTTTCTTAAGAATGGATTCCCAGAAGTAGAACACAGATTAAAATGAATTAATGAGCTTAAAGCTACTAATCCATGCAGCTAAACCTCACACATTCCTCCTGTAAGCACAGAGTATAAGAGTGTCAATTTGATGGCACACTTACCAGCACTGAATTTTTTTTTAATTATGCTGCTAATCTGGTAAGAAAAGAAAAAACCTCATTGCTTCACTGCACTGTTTTTTGATTACTAGCAACTCTCTGTATTTAACATTGTAATTAAGCAACAGGCCAGTTGAGTTGACAAACTCTTTGGGGACAAGGCATTAGAAGTCTGTGGCAGACTATCTTCACACTCCATCCCCTAAGTGCACAATAACAACACTGAAAGATACGAAAGATCTCCTAAATGACACACAGTGGAAAATTCAAATATCTCAGCAAGTCAGAGCGTGATTCCCTGCCTGTTGCCTTAGCTGAGCTCTCTGTCCCCAGGTCGAGCCCTGAGGACAACTAAGCTGGAGAGAAACAGCCTGATCCCCACCTGGACTCCATGGGCCCCTGCTTCTCCAGGGGCCTGATCCTCTTAGGGCACACTGGCAGCGTGGTCGTGTCAATGACTTTGGTTTCTCCGTTGTTGTAGGTGAACTCTAAGGTGCCGTTCCACTCCCCATGGGCTTTACAAACAATGGTGTTGGTTGGGTTGTGCTTCACCTCTGCCGTGACCCTAAATGAATTCAATCAAATGAACATGCTTTGCAAGATTATCAAAACACAGAGACTGCCTCCAAAAAGTGGACTCATGCTTGGAGATTCTTTTTATGGGGTGACATGGAAATTGTTTTTTAGTGTTTTGCTCAAAGACTAGCTTATAAAATATGACCTAATATCCTTGAATAAAAAATGAAGGTGTTGATGGAAAAACTGATGAGAGGTGAATCAAGTCTATAGATCAGTTAATAGGCTAACCTAACAAAAGCCGAGAAAAACCCCTAACCTCTTGCTTGGCCTTGCGTCGGTCGATCCCTTCCTACTCACAGCAGCGGTTTGGTGGGACCACCTTCAAGCTGGCTGTGAAAGCGCCTCTGTGATCTGTGACCTCCTGCCTCACCTGCCTGGCCTGAGAGAGCTGCAGGTGCCCAGCTCTGGGTGAAAGCAGATCCCAGCTCCCTCTCTACCGTGAAGCTTGCTGCACAGTAGGAGGAACACAGCAGAAACGGGGAATCCTGCTCCGAGCAGTTGAGCGCAGGAGGCAAGCTCCTCTCTTCCTAATGGCCCAGCTCAGGTTGAATTTCGTTTATCAAAGGCTTGGAAGCTTTCTGCCTGAGCCTGAACACAGCCGAGGTTCCCAGATGGCGAGCAAGGCTCCCAGGCAGCATCAGGAAACTTCCAGGCTACAGGGGAGGGCTTTCCAGGAGGGACAACACTCGATTTGTAGCATTTGCCAATTTCCATGTGACCCCAAGCTACCAACATGGTATGAAGGGTGGAGCTGGGGAGAAGTGCACATGATCAGCTTGTGAGCACGAGTGTCTGGCTCCAAAACGGCCTCTTTCCCGGGCGACATGCACTCTGACATCCAAGAACAAGGGCCACGATGGGAGCCTGTTTATACAGTGATCAGCTGAGGAATTTTTATAACAGGAGCAATAAAACCAACGTTGCGCTTCTGCAAACAGCAGACCTCGCTTTCAATTTCTTAGGCTTGGGCTTCCCCAGCTCCTGCAGCAAAGAGCTGGTCCTGATCTCATAGAGGACACGGGAATCGGGAGACTTAACAGAGCCAACCTGACATGAATGGGGGGCTCTCAGGCAGTGTCTGAGTTCACAGATCAAATTGCTGCAGATCAGAGAAACAGGCTGTGGCATCAGGAGGGAGTGTATTGTAACAAATTGAAGCACCTTTTCCCCTTGGTGTGTATTTCACCGTAAGTTTACATGGGGAGGGTTATTTTTAAAAACTGCCATGAGTATGGGGTGTGTGTGTGTGTGTGTGTGTGTGTACGTACGTACACGGGGGGGGGGAATAAAGGAGCAGCACCTCTTTTGAAAAAAGATCTGTTAACAACTTTGTCTTGATTTTCAATTCATCCCATGGCTGGAACCCAACTTCTGATGGAGAAATGACCCTCCGGGCATCGTGATGAGACAAAGACGGAGCCTCCCCGGCCGCCTCCTACCTGTGGACTTTCCCGCCATAGAAAGGCTTCGTGTGGAAGATCACGGTGGCCGAGTAGCCCGTCTTGGCACAGGTGATGTTGACTTTTCCTCCAAGCTCCACCCAGGGGATGGTGAGGATGGAGCGAGCGTAGGCACTAGGCAGGGTAAACACATACTCCTCCCCGTGGTCCAGGAGCCTCAGCACACCTCCGGGGGGAGAGCAGAGGCGAGTCAGCACACAGCAAACAAGAACAGGGCAGCTGGCGATCAAAAGACAGCAGAAGCCAAAGAGCCTCCAGCAAAGGCGGTGGTCTGCCACCCCCGCAAAGGCTGGCTGCTCGTTCGCCATGCATTTATTTACTGCGTGCCCTCCTGTGCGCCAGGCACTGTGTGAGGCACTGAGAATACAACAGTGGACCAGGCGGACCCACTGTCTGTCCTCAAGGAGCAGAAGAGAACAGCGGGCATTCATCACCAAGCAAACACAGAGTTGTGACTGTGATGAAGGTAGAAGGGAGAGGTGCTGGGTTCCAGGGAGGCCTCCAACAGGAATGGACCTGGAAGGGAGGTTTCCCTGAGGAAAGGACACGAGTTGGGTAAGAACTGAGTAGGTGAAGACGGGCAGGAAAGGATTCCAGGCAGAGATCTTAGAGGATCATTCCAAATCCTCTGTCACTCACCAGCCTGGCAACCTTTACTTCGCTGTGCCTCAGTTTCCTCCTCTGTGACCCAGGGGTAACAGTACCTGTGCCGCTCTGGGCCGTGGTAGGGATGGGAAGGCGATTCTAAAACTCAGCTAAAACGCAGCCTCACACACCGCGAGAATCTATAGGTTTTATATCCTAACCTGCACTCACTCACTAAAACAGCCCTCTCGGGTGAGTTCTTAACAGTGGTATCTCCATTTGGGAATAAAGAGGAAATCACAAAGCCAGGTGGCCGGGTATGCACGTGGGGCGAAGAGAGCAGTGGGAGGCACCTTCCTGCCATTGGATGCCCCTCGAAGCCAGTGAGCCCCTAAGCTAAGCTGGTTTGAGGGCATTAGCGAGACCACATTCTTTTGGCTCTTTTCTGAAAATCCATAAATGTGTGCTCACTTATTAAATAACCTGAAATTTTTATGCCTTCTCAACACTAACCATCTTTTTTTAGGGTTGCATAAAAAAATACCTGCCCCTAATAGGAATAAAAGCCTATTAAAACTAAACTTACAGACGGGATCACGAACGAAAGCTCCTCCTTCATTAGCCTAAGAGCTGAGACACACTGAAAAATGCCAAATCATCAATCCGTCCACGCCGAGGTTAGTCTTAAATCCTACAAACTGATTTATCAATAAACATTAGGCCAAGCATTAAGGTCTTCACACTGACAAATTTTAAATAATTTCATACACGGTATCCCAACCCGAGGAACCAAAATATTCTGATAGAACATTTAGTCTGGAGCGCGCAGAATCTCAGAGAGTAACCCTGGGGAATTGGGCTGCAGGCAACGCAGCGCCCACATCCATCAGCCCGAGCCAACGTGTCACTTCTCTTGCTCGAACTAATTGCCTTTCCCCACAGACTCAATTAAGAGGCTGTGCCATTTGCTGGGCGCTGGTTCTGGTGTTTCAGGGGCAGGCGTGTCACACGCAGGAGCAACTGCGGGGCCTCAGCTCCCAGCAGTGCGGGGTTGGTGAGTAGAGGCCCTTTGCTTCCCCGGGGACGGAACGGATGGGGTGGCTGAACAGTGTCTCAATTAGGGGTTGTCAGTGTCAGAGCTGAGGAACAGTGGGGAAGGGGGGCAGTCTCTGAACTGCAACCTAAGCGAGTTCAAGGCAAAACGAAGCTCTTTATAATGGCATTTTATTGTAGCTAGATATGCCACAGCCTAAGGCAGTAATTTAAGAGACAAGCCCGTGTATTTATGTACAAAATATCAAGGGGACCCAGCTGAGATCTAAATCTTAAAATGAGGGGGTTGGAAAAATGTTACTCCAAACTAGAGTCAAAAATGTCATGGAATGTGCTCGATCCACGCAGGGAATAAGTAAGGGAAAGAAAAACACCCCGCCTCTCATACCCGGCCCGCCAAGGCGCGGAGTACAGGGACCAGAACCTTTGCTTGGAAGCATCCTGTTGTGTGAACAGTTAGGTCATATGTGTGACAGAGCGCACATTTCATTAACATGAAAGAGAGGTGGGTGTAGCTGCTGAAAGGACTTAGGCAAACCTAAGGCCTCCCAAGAATGAGCCAAGGGCCCCCTGACACTTCCCAGGTCTGTCCACGCAGGAACACACTGGGCCGGGGGCCTGGAAGGGCTACACAGGGAGGGGCTTCCAGAGTCTCCACAAGCTTCGCATTTCAACTGAGACTGAGAAGTCCTGAGTTGGATTTTCAAGCGGAAAAAGTGAGAGCAGTGAATTCTAACCCTGCTTCGGGGATGGCTATGACGGAGGATCTCAGAAAAGGGGGGTACAGTGTTCCCCAGGCACAGCATTAAGAGCGGTGTGCACATGCTCACCCCCAAGCGCGCCCGGGGCTGTGCGGAGCGAATTCAAGGCCCAGCCCCTACGTGTTATATGTGGGGAACAGGGGAGCTAAGACCCTGGGACGTCAGAGACCTACCCTATGGAGACAGACACGCAACAACTGCCAACAAGAAGAGACACTGAGGATGTCAGCTCACCTCACTGACAGAGTGGGGGACAGTGGAAAAAACAGAGGTCACAGGACCCCGCGACTCTCAGTGAAGTTCCCAAGCAGGCAGACGCAAGCCATGGATTCTGCCCGGCTACAGAACGAGCCCTGTGCAAGGAGTGGCTTAGATGGGACGGCTGGACACACAGGAGGGCTGACAGGATGGACCAGGGTACAGAGAATGGAAGGGAGAGAAGAGCAAATGTGCTGGGAGGAGAGGAGTGGCATTGAAACAGTCACACAGGTGACATCCTTACACACCCACCTCCTCACCGGCCCATCCCTGGTGCTGGATGGCTGGGGGCTCCCACCTACTGTTTGGTGAGAGAAGGAAGCATCCCTGGGGCTAGGAAGGGGATGAGTTTCTCTGATTGAAAAATCCTCTAAATCACTAGAAATGGATTTGCAAATCTTCACCTTTATCAAAAATTTCCAGATAGTGGTCTACCATCAAGAATCCCTGCCTAGGGGCCCAGAGCCTGGGAGGCGCCCAGCCTGGGCTGTGGATAAGTCTGTTTCCCACGCCTTGACACTGGGCAGCGGGCGGTTCTGCTGAGTGCAGAGGAATCAATCCCCAGAGAGGAACGTGAATATTTTCTGTGTACCGGAAAATGCATTTAGTTTTATCAGAATGTATTGCATCCACCGAGCACTTACACTGGAGATTTAAAGAGCGCACGCATGTGTGTGTGTCTATGTCTGTGTTGTCTGTGTCTATGTCTGTGTCTGTGTCTGTGTGTGGGGGTGGGGGAACAGAAAAGAAACAACTCCTCTGTCTACTCATAGCTTTGCCATGAGGCCGTCCCGGCTCCCACCTTCCATCTATTCACACAGCAGCCATGGGGATGCTGCTAAAATCACGCCCACACTCCAGGGAATCTCATCTCACTCAGAGTCAAAGCCCGAGTCCTTGCACTCCCCCAATGCCAGCCCCCGTGACCTGGCCCCTGCTCTCTGACCTTGACTCCTCTACCCACCCCTGGCTCACTCTGCTCCAGCCACGCTGGCCTCCTGATGTTCCTAGAACACTCCAGATACACACCTGCCTTAGGGCGTTCAACTTGCAGGGGGTTTTTGCTCAGAACATCCACATGGCTTCCTCTCTCTCCTCCTCGGAGCCTTTATTCAAATGCTCCATTCTCGTTGAGGCCGCCCTACTAGAAATCGCACGTCGCCCTGCTGGCACCTCACTATCTTCCCTTCCCACTTTGTCATCACCTGTCCCACTGCGGGTTTCTTGCACCTCTCTGACCTTGTCTTCTCCAATTCCTGCCTCGTTCACTCTGCTCCAACTACTGGGGCTTCCTGCCTTCCCCCAGCATGCCAGGGCTCTGCTTGGTTCTTCCTGCTTTACATATTCTTCCCCTGGTCACCAACAAGGCTTGTCCTTTTATCACCCCTGGGTCTCTGCTTAAATACCACCTTCTGAGTGAGTCCTTCCCAGCCGCCATCCCATCCTAAGGCTCTATTGCTCTCTCCCCACTACTACTCCCAGGTGTCCTCTCTGCTTTATTTTTATCCATAGTACTTACCTCCCAACACAACAAACATAATTTTATTTCCCTAGTAGAATACAATAGAAGCTTCACAAGGACAGATATATATTTTTTGGACTGTTTTGTTCATACAAGTATCCACAGCTCTTAAGACAATGTCTGACCTCTAGTAGGTGCTCAATAAAAATGTGCTAAGTGAAAGAAAGGTGTTCTTATCTCACAGGGTTTCGGAAGGGCTTCCAGAGAGCCATATGCTCCCTGAAACAAAGCCAAGTTTTGTGGTGGTGTTTTTTTCTGGGAAGTGAGTCTACATCCTTCGAGTAGCAAAGGGATCTGTGACTCAAAAGAAGTTAAAGAACCACTAACACAGAAGCCAGAATTTAACAAGGATTATTACAGGTTTCTTCACACAATGCATCTACTTCCTTCACAGCTATCTGCTAAAATAGAAACGTGCAGCCCGGGTGGTGCTATTACACTGTGTCCTTGCTTCAGAGCCTCTAGCACTGAGGCCAGAGGTTTGCCTCGGGAATTTTCATGAGCCGATTGTGAACAGTAGCATTATCCTCATTGTCTGCGAGCCAGAGCACCGGTGAGAATGAGTGAAAATGTGTTTCAAGGATTTGGAGCCAACTCTAACATTCATGCAAAGCTGGCAATAAAGCATCTGTAAAGCCACTCACAAACACGCACGCACAGCATGTGAAGATCAGGTGGGCAGCTGGTTAGGCAAATAGCTACGTCCCATCCAGCCCATCGCCTTGGGAAATCACCAGGATCTAGTCCCCAAATAATAAAATTCATCCCTCTC